TTTTGGAGGGATCTGCTATAGTTAAAATGTTCTATTCTAATCATATTGCCGTTTTAAAAGAAGATGTATTGAAAATCGCAAAGGCACTTTAATCATGTTGAGATACTGTGTGCTATTAGTATTAAAATTATTTACCAATTACAATTCACTTTAAATACCTAAATAGTCTTAGTTAACCAATAGTGTGCCAGTGGCTGTGCAAATTATTAAATGAAATGGACTGGGAGTATTAACATGAGTTAAACGTGTGCCATGCAATTCTGCCATTATTTTGGACTGAATTATGATGAGAAAGTCCTTATTTGCTGCTATACAAAGTATCCAGAGAAAAATTACAAATCTTCGATTATTTACAGTATTGTTTCTCAGAATAGTTCTCTGATAAAACTGGAACTATTCTGAAATGATTAGAGAACTGCAAATCGTGTTCCAAAATAGCCGAGACAAAAAACACTGAACCAAATTGAGAATATAACTGAGATTCTAATTTGGTCATTCAGTATATATAACAATGTACCAAAGGTTTCTGTTTACTTGAATTTGTTATAAAACTTTCATAAATAAAATTATATATAAAAAAAATGAATTGCTGACGACACTTTGCAAAACCCTACGAGGCAATCATAACACATACGAGGTATTATTAAATACACAATATCACAATCACATACACACATCTTAACACACAGGGTAAAGCAGGAATTAAAGCTGAAGGCCACGTTAATAGGACTTTGTTTGAATGTAGCAATGCAATAGTTGCAGATAGGAGCATGTCAATATTCACAGAATGCCTGCTTTAATATACCTCCAAACTGTCCCGAATTAAGGGCCCCTCTACTATAGTTCAGAGTTTATTAACAAACTCAAAAGTAAGTGCTGTGTGAAAATGTTATTAGATGTGTTTATGGTGCACAAAACAAACTCAGGTCTTTACTGTCTGCACCTCATTCTGCTTAAAAGGGGCTCTGTGCATTGGTCACACTGAGAAGGGCTGGTCAGCCAGGCTCACGTGCCCTTTTTGGAAGTGCCATGACCCGCCCCATGTATGTCACCCCTATTGTCCCACACACCACCTGTCCAGCAGGCTTACCTCTCAATATTGGTGCAGAAATATTTAATGAGCAATATTGGCTACAATTTAAAATGGCATACTGTGTGTGGTCATTTGCATAATGCTGTGTGGAATTCTGGGAGTATTGCAAGACTATCATGTTCTCCTAACTGCAGCGTGTAACGTATATTATAGGCAACTAGACCACTCCACCTCATTGAAGTGGTCTGGATGCAGTGTCCCTGTCCCGTTAACCCTGCAACAGGAAACATTACAGCCCCAGAGAAACGGCAATGTTTACATTGCAGGATTAAGACTGCCTCTAGTGGCTTCCTGCTGTTTCACAGAGTCTGACTCACGCTTTGCATGATAACATCCAGTGTCTTTAAAAACCCCATAGGAAGCATTAAGTCAATGCTTTCCTATGGGGAGGGCCTAATGCACCGCGCATGCTTAATAGGTTCCAGAATCGCCAGGAAGGAGCCTGATTCAGCACTGAAGGAGGGAAGGAGGTGGCAGAAGGCACTATAGGAATACAATGTTATATTTCTAACACTGTAGCATTTCTTTATCAACGAGAAGATGATACATAGCTTTACATTTGAGCATATATATCATACAATAGCAATCTTGTTTTTTTTATTCAAACATTTTATTGTTTTAAATAAAACAGAAGAATCTGGATGGGTGTCGGGGGTTATATCACTAAACACCGTAACAAAGTCTTATTCAGAAAAGAAGAATAAAATACACAGAAAAGGGAAATTTAAATAATTTAAAGATTAAAGTTGAAGTCTTTACAATGTATTTTTAAAGAGTACTGTTTTGTAAAATACATTTACTGTGCCACCATAACATACTGTGAATATTGTTTTATTAGGTATTTTAGAGTGTAAGCTTCTTTGGCAATAGCTTTTATCACTGCATGTTCCTGCACAACAAACATATTAAGTCTCTGTAGTCTGATTTTGTTTGACCTGTTATACAGCACTGTAGAATGTGTTGGTTGCTTGAATATTAATTATAAAAACGTATTATAATATTTATTTATTAATTAATCTCCCACAATTCTATACATCTATATTATTTTTAGAATGTATCACCAACATAGTCTGCGGCGATGTACCATCGGACATGTTTAGGAAGGGCGATGCTTTGTACGCTGGTGCCATGTTCACCATATATGATCTTGTTTTCCTGCAGTCCTGGGTTTTTGCCATTTGCTGTAGTGCATGTTTTGTATAAAGTTAGGAGATGTGGGAGGTGAGGCCTGCACAGAGCTCTCTCTTGTATCTGACATGATACACTGTGACTACTCTCTCCCTGCGTTCACATGTAATCAGACTGACCAGTTCCAAACCCACCTGTGTCCGATGCCTCACTAATAACCGATTTTTAGTTTAATTAAATACATTGATTATTATTGAAGTGGATATTTTAATAGATGTGATTTTGCTGTAGCCAACAGAAAGCATTTTCCTGATGTGTTCTAAGACTTTGCGCACAGTGTAACGTAGCGGGTCTATTAACTAAACAGTGACTTGGTCTGTAGTGGTTATGAAGCTCGGAGTAACCCTTTACCTGCTGGCATGATATATTCTTCCAAGATGGTAATAATCTCCAGCTCAGATAAATACCAAATCTGATCAACTACCTTTTGTAGCCTAATTTGCCAAGTCAGCAATCCATTTACCACTACACACTGGGGATAAACCCCAAATATACCAAATATTTGTCTTTCAATATATACATGTTTGTTCAGCCATCACCTTGCGATAAGATCTCTTTTAGGAACATAGTTTGGTACAAGTGATGATGAAGATATTGATCTCTAATTATTATTATTATTATTATTATTATAGCGCTTCCTTATTCTGCAGTTCCACACCTTTATACAAAGGTGATATAACAGCAAGTAAGAGAGAAAATACTACACATGTTAACAGGGCCAATAGGTTAACCAGGACCCTGCTCAAATCTTTTTACAATCTATCAATACTATTGATTTATTGCCTGATCTTTTTTACCATTCAGTCATTATATCTGACCAATAATTTAACACTAATTAGATTGTCGGATATCAGCAGCAGAACACACATTACATTTTATTTAATGTGCTCTATTTACTAAACAGTGACTTTTCATCCAATTTACCAACTTGCCATTTAGGTCCATCTGCAATGGAAGAGAGATTGCCGGGTGTATGTCATCAGTTATATGCCAAAAACATAAAGTCACTGATCAAGCAAATAGGCTTAGAGCAAAGGGACACATTAAGCACCAAAACTCTTGCACAGGCAGCAGTTTTTTGCAGTGATTTCTTTTTAAGTAATGTCACAAAAAGCTGGGGGTTGCAGGCATCCAAATCCAGAAAGTTTCAAGAAAATCTGTCCAAGTTTAAATAGCGATGATAGGTAGCGAAGCTGGGCTAGGCCCACCCCTAACATTTGTGGTGTATTATTGGCCTCTCCTACTGCGCCAGCACCTGATTTGCTAGGTGAAAGTCCTACAAGTTACTATTCAATAAAACCATTACCTTCGAGATGTTCCATACGCACTAGGCTTCAGGCATTCTCTTACTGCAACCTATTTATGGGTTTTATTATTATATTTTACAAAGTTACAATGTTTTAGCTTGCTATTAATGCTATAAGGTTTATTTACTAAACAGTCCTATCATCACAGCTAACGTCTTAGTGATTACACCCCTCCGAAAAAAAAATCCAGTAAAACCCTTATTTATTTACCACTTGTGTGCAAATTACTGTTAGTGGAATTACTTTTTGTATATGGGAATGGGAGGAGGGATTGCAGAGCCAACCTATCAGCACTGTAACGGTTAAATAGAAATTTAAGACTTTATTCTCCACTGTACAATTTGTTGGCGCTATATAAATCATAATAATAAACAGTTAATTATAACAATCTGAGAACTCAATATGTGAGATGACATAAGTCGGTTTGGAGACATTTTCTATCTTGGCGATTTCATTCCAAAAAGATGGACTTGACAACAATCCTCCACAAACATTCTCAACAAAATCTTTTCCCAATAATTTTACATTGTTACTATTTAGGAAAAAAGAAATGTATAAAAAAATGAGAATTTGTAAGTATTCTTTTTAGTTCCAATTTTATAATGATTCGCATTGTATTGGAGCAAGTACTTGGTGTGCGAATTAAATTATAAAATATTTTGGACAATAAACAAACAACTTAAAGAATGTGGGGCAGAACGTAGATTTTGGGGGGCGGGGGGAATCCTTAACCCAGCTTAAATACTAGTTTTTCCAACTGTTTAGTTTACAATTTGCAAGTCGGTTCTCAGGCCTCCAGAAGTGAATAACCCCCCACCCCAAATAAATAAGGGAGTTTCGCAATTTGCAGATAATTAGATGTGAAAGATCTCATAATTCGGTATATAGATTCTGTGGTGTCATTTTCTCAGGGCGATTTTTCACACCACATACAAGAGGGAAGGAGAGATTTATGAGGCATGTGCAGATGGGTGCAAAATGCCACATTTTTATTGGGGTATCGGCTGGACTTTATGGGGTCCCTCCTTTGTTGTGTTTGTCTGTTTGCCCTGAGGCTGCTGGTTTATCAGCTGTCTAAGTGAAGGGAAAGCAGTTTCAAACCAGCACTGAGTCTGCCAATTTTAAAATGTCATGGTTGGGTTTCAAAAGAAATTCTTTCTGACCTACTTCTGCCGAGCTTCTCAGCCGTATGAGACGAGTAAAGGTTCTTTTTTTACACTGATTCATCTGCTTGAACAACAAACAGAGGTTTTTTTTTTTCCTGCACACAGAAATCGCCACAATAATAAGTTTTTCGTTACGAGTTCCCTATTCGGTGCCCTGATAAATCCGTCCCCACATTACGTTATTTATAATTATTTTAGTGCTAAAAAAAATTCTAATAATTTATATATATATATATATATTTTTTTTTTTTTTTTTTTTTTTGGATAACGCTGAAAAATTCCTTCCCAACATGACCCTGGGAAATTTTAAAATAACTGACATTAGATACAATTATTTCAAGTTGCAAATATGTGAGGAAAATGTTAAATATTTGACAATTGAAACATTTATAGCAAGCTGCACATACCAGAAATCAGAATGATGGAATCAAGGTTGGCTGTGACCCACAGGCATCCTTGTATAGATTGTGGTGTGCTTGGCAACTCAATAATTTATATCCTATTACATAATTTTTTCATACGATCCAGGCCATCTGTTTATAAGTCTACAAGATAGATAGCCGATCGCATGATTGAACTACAAAACATTGCAGAAGAATAGACATTATGCCATTGAAATGCTTTGGACATTTATAGGCCGATATATATGATTTTAAATTAGATTATAATCCAAATCGGACACATCCCATCACGTCGAACAATAGAGGGTAATAAAAGTGGCATGCACTCACTGATCGCCTGCATTACCTGACATTTTATCTCTACGGTGCTGTAGCATTTAATGATAAGCAGAGATATTTGGGGGGGACAGAAATGAAAGAATTATAAAGAGTAGCGGCATTCTATAAAGTATTATTGAACAGAAACTGTTACTTACCAGGATTTTAAATATTATGTTTACTTATCCACCTATGTTTAACAAATAAGTATTTGTGAGCTGTAAAAACTAAAATTAAATATAGCAATCCACACCTCCTTATCCTGCGCCTGGGTACCTCATCTTAGCTCCCTGTCAACAATTATTCTTCGCACCTGGCAGTCAGCATAGAGAGAGCAGACAGAGAAGAAGAGAAATGCAACGCTTGCCCTGGCTTTGTCTAGGCTGAACTGGACTATGATGTAATTTGATAAATCTTTAATATGCAAAGACGAAAATAATGTAAAAAATAAATAAATCCCCAAGCGCAGTAAAACTAACACTAACTGAGACTCTTAATAAAAAAATTCAGAACTGTGGAGAAGTAACATAAGAATAGCAAATTTTAGGCCGAAATATTGGAGCTGAAAATATGAGCTAATTTTCCCTCAACGCAATCAACATATCCTTATAGTTCGCCAACACCCTGAAAAATCTACCTCCTCTCCAATGGTATAATACGGTATGTGATGGGCATATTATGGATACATTGCTGTCTCATTGCCAACTGATTATTGGTGATCATTACATTAAATGTGCGATCATGACATCACCTGGACTTGATGGAATTCTATTTTTCTCATTTTCTATCTTTAATGTGGAAAAATCCCAAGTAAGAAAGTGAAGGTGTCTTTTAGACTTGGACTTTGATTTTGGACCAAACTGCAATTTGTCTGAACTTGGGACGATTACTGTTCGTAAAAATTCCAGAATTCAGAGCAAATATATACCCAAATTAGAGACTAATAAAAACCCTCAATGCCGATCATGTTCAGAGGGACCTATATTCTGAATTGTGCCCATTTTATAAAAGAGATAATTAATAGGGAAAAATATTACTGATGGCTATGGGGACTGTGAGCAAGAAAGGAAAAAACAGGAATGTCATATACATTTAATAAATATAAAATATGTAAATATATAAAAATATAGATTTTATTTTTTTACTACCTCTGCTATTTTTCCTTTTATTGGCTACTTTTTCTCACTTAATCTGTGAAACAAACTGGGAGGAACATGCTCCTATTAATGTACTGCAATATATATTTCAAATATGAATGTATATATTTTGTAGCACACAACTTGGCCCATTGCTGTGCCTCTTTGGTTTGTTCTTCTGATTCGGTTTCTGAACCGAAGCCGAACCGACATCCAACTGAAAAAATACGTTACAGAGCTGAAATTTCTTGCCTTGTTTTGGAAAACAGAAATGAAACAGGCCAGGTGTTCAAAACCGTTCAACTATGCAAATAAAAGGATGGGAGAATTCCTGGTGTATCTCTTTTTAACAGAACAGACATAACAGACATAAAATGATCACAAATTTAGATGACGGAAAATAAGACATAAGAATGCTCCATGCTTTGCAGTCTAGAGGAAGCAGGGTATAATTGCAATGAAAGTAAAATTAAAGGGCAATGCATTGAGAAAGGAGGATGGATTTATAGGTGTACAGTCTGTATTTATAAACAGGCTATTTTTTTTTTTAAAATCATACAGAGTAGTTAGCAGAGGCACGCAGAAAAAGAGTATGAATTAAAGGAACACAAAAGTGTTAAGAATGAAACCTGCATTCCTAGAGCTTTAATTTCCCTGTGTAAAGAGCACCCCCCATGTGTGCCCTAAAAATTATTTTTAAAAAGCTTTTACTTTTCTCTTTCCAGCTGCTGAGCGCTCGGCCTCCTGTGACAGCATTGAGGAGGCATTGCTTCCTCTGCAATGGTCCAATCTAATCCAATGCTTCTCATGGGGGATGATATACTTTCTTATAGGGGCTTCCCCATCAAGTGACCAAGGTTTACTCAGCCAGTGCAGCAGAAGAGCCTCTAGTGGCCCTCTGTAACAGTGTCTGAGGGCAGAAACCAGGCTACCCAGCCTGCGCTCTGACGTTATCATAGACCGCCATACCGTATGGCTCCAGGAGCCCACAGGACCACCAGGGAATGTGCCCTTCCTGCCTAGGAGGTAAACCCCCACATTGTCACCTCCTTAGTCACTCAACTCCAACCTTGTCACACTCACCACCCCTCATCCCGTCACACTCACTCCCCCACACTATAACTCTCACCACCCAGCCCTAGCACACTCACACCTAGCCTTTATACACTCACCACCTGTTATCCTGTCACAATCACTCCCCCTCACCACCCAACCCTCTCACACTCACCCCTATCCTTTATACGCTCACCACCCCTCATCTTGTCACAATCACTCCCCCTCATCATCACACTTACCACCCAGCCCTTTCATACTCACCCCTAGCCTTTATACACTCAACACCCCTCACCCTATCACAATCACTCCCCCTTATTATCAAACTCACCACCCAGCCCTAGCACACTCACTGCCAACCTTGTTACACTCACCAACCCCACATCCTGTCACAATCACTCACTATGACACTTAGCACCCAAAACTATCACACTCAACCCCAACTTTGTCACACTCACCACCACTCTCACCCACTCACCCTGCCACACTCATCCCTTTATCCTGTCAAACTCACCCCCTCTCACCCTGCCACATTCACCCCCTCCTCCTGTCAAACTCACCACCTCACCCTATTGCACTCACCCCCTCATCCTGTCAACCCCAGATGGCTTGGGTGCATTATAACTTGTCGTGTCAGTGCAACAATTTATAGTGTTACAATACTTCACTATAATTTGCATTTATAGCTTTGTCTCGGATAAGCTGAAACCCCATTTCTTTTGTACACATTACATACAGCCAGCACACACACACACACTACATACAGCTAGCACACATACACATTACATACAGCTTGAACTTTTTAGCTTATTCTGTGGTAACGTTTTCTTAAAGATAGGTGTCAGATGTTTAAACAGGGGCTGTGAGGGGCGTAATTTAAGTGCTTACCATAGGCGTTGTCTTCAGTAGATACACCTCTATTGAGATGAAGTAACTTTGGTGACTTCTGTGGTCCTTCAGTGATAAGGGACATGATGAATGGTGTTAGGAGTGGTATCTACTAACTGATATGCTCTGTTCCAGAAATTAGTTTATATGGACATTTTAGAAGACGTCATTGAGGCGCCGTCAATTCATCGTCACTGCTCCAGCCCAGTCCTCCACATAGGGGACCATCGGGACCTGATGCGATTATGTGGCAAATGCATTCAATGTTTTTCTTTGAGCGGCAATGTCACATGACCGAGTTTTACTTGGTAGTGGAAGCATTTCTAGTGGCTGTCAGTATGACACATTTAACTCTTCAAGGTAGACACTGACATTTCAGAAAATCAGCAAAGCTTTACCTTGAAGGGTTAAAACTACAGAATCACAGCACCCAGACCAAGTCACTGAGATAAACATCCTTTAAGTGATGTGGGTGTTAGGAGAGGAATCAACCAGTTGATATGAGTTTATATGGATATTTTAGAAGACTAGACACTGGAAACATCTGAAGGGATGAGACAGGACATTCCACATGAACAGGACAGCCCAAGAGAAAAACTAAGGACAGGTGAAGGTTGTTGTCGGTTTTCTAGTTAAAGGACAAGATTTTAAATTCCATTCCAAAAATATACAGTTGACAATATAGGGACAGACAAATGGGAAAGGTGTGACAGGAGTGATATTTTAGGGGTAAAATGCCAGCACAAGGGTGGCTGATGAAGTATGGGGTGCAGTGACTGAAGACCAGTGCATGAACCAATGCTTTGATTGCATAATGTTTTAGAAAGGGGTAAATGAGGGCTATAGTTTTAAGATGACAGTTGCAGTATTTGATTACTGGATGGGAGAAGTGATCTAAAGGGAGATGGACAAGAAATGGTTTGAAGAAGTAAAAAGAAGAAGCTCTGTTTTAGAGATATTGAGTTTAAAGAAGGCAGACATCCAGGTAAAGAGTGCGGGGACAGTTAGTGATACGATCGATGAGAGAAGGGAATAGATCTAAAGAAGAGAGGTGCATCTTGTCGGTGCCATAAAGACTGCACTGAAATCCAAAGCTAGTTATTATGTTACCCGGTAAAGTAGTATAGTGAAAGAGCACTGAGAGAGAAGATCCATGAAAGAGCAATCAAGATGGACAAATTTATGGAGGTCTGAAGAATGCCAACAGTGTCAAAAGTAGCAGAAAGGTCCAGAACAATTAATCACTAGTAATGACCTCTAAATGTTGCAATCTTCAGGTCATTTTGAGTGGTAAGAGTGGAAACCAGACTGAAGTACTGAGCTTTTCAAAAAACTCAAGAGGCAAAAAGGCATTGAGACTCCGGAGGTGGGTCTGGAGGTTTTTTTTTAGGATGGAATTGATAATTGATTGAATTAGGTTACAACACACAATATAAATACATATGGCCGAGTTAAATATGGAACAAGAACAGATCAAAGAAACTGAGCAAAATCTGCATTGGTTAAACGAGGAGGCATGTGGATATGGTGTAAGATAAAGCTCTTCTTCATTAAAGGGTTACCCCACTGATTTGAAGTGGTCATGGCGTCAGAAGTTTGTATGCGCACTGTTTCGGTATGGCAGCATCACAACGGCGTCATTAGTCATGGGCCGGCTAATGTTAATTCTGTGCGTATTTGGAATCTGATACAAGCACATACAGCACAGAGTTGAAAGGGGGATAAAGAGAGTGAGGAGACGTATAATTATTTCAATTAATTGAAATTAATATGTTCCAGACTTGTCAGCTGTGAGTTTAGTGGAAAGTTAAGACGTGATGGGGCAGAGACTGATGAAATATGGACGTGTAACGTGGATTTGTGTTGTGAAAACCATAAAGAGTAACAGTGTTATTACGAAAGTGAGAATTGTTGTGGAATTCCAAAAACATTTTAAATATTTACATTTCACGCCAAAATAGTAAAAAAAATTGAACCATAGCTGACTGGGAGAATTTGTCAAGTTCAGCTACTTTGACCTTAAATTTGAAATTCACAGTGAATTATTTTGGAATTCCTGACCATTTTTAGTTTAGGAAATAACCCTGAACGTGCTGGTTTTTTCTACTTTCTCCATGGTAGCCAAGATGCAGGTGTCATATAGGAAGGATGCTAGTTTAGACTCAGAGAAAGGAGATGTGAAGAGATGTTAATGAGTGGTCGTTGGGAATTAAAACAGATTGAGTTATTGAAGTTTTCAGCAAAAACTTTAATCTTTTCACAGTGTCTGTGTGTGTGTGGGCAAGGGGGGGCCTCTTCTGCAATATCCTAACTATATGGAGCGTATTGTGATGTGAATAGTTTATACCTGACAACAGATGTCTGCAGATCCCACTTACCAGAACAGCATAACACGTTGTATAAAATTACTTTTTTTTGATATTCACTTTTCATAGGGTTCTCAAAAAAAGTAGGTTACAGCAAAATGTAGATATTTGATACACTAGTTCAGTAAACATCCAGGTGGATTTTAATTCAGCGAGTCTTCAAAATAATAAAAAAATAAATGACCAACGAAGATGTCTCAATAAGAGATAAAGAAGGAATGTAGAAAAGAGAATAAGTAAAAGAAAGTGGAGGATTTAAAAAATGTATAAAAATTACAAGGTAGCCATATGAGTCTACATGAAGCCCTTGGGTAGGTAGGTACGTAGGTCCTTGAACCTATTCAATTGGTAAAGACAGGTGGAGTTGAGCTTTAAGGTTCCCATGTGGAGGCTGCACCACAATTTGCTAAGGACCTGCTGCAGCTTGTGTGGCACCCTATGGGCAAACATTTACACAAAACGATCTATTGGTCGTATATTGGGATTACTATATATTGGTTACAGTTTATTCTCTATACAAAGACTCTGGAATAAATATTAACCTGAAAATTATTTTATGAAATTCCAACCCAGTCAAAATATATCATAAGACCAAATAAGGATTACTCTGTCTTCTGGTATTATTAGTAATATGATTGCCATTTACAATATTATAAAGGGTGAAATTTAACAATAAATGAAACAATTACAAAATATTACAGGAACAATAGATTGAAGAGGACCCTCAAACAAGTACAATCGAGAGGAGTTGAAGTATAAAAACACAACTGGAAAGGTATATCCTCAAGTTGAGAAAACTTGACAAATGGTCTTTTGAGATCCTCCACGGACTGTATTGTACTCAGTGCATGAGAGTGCAGCACCAATGTCGGCTACCAACAGATAAAATGCCAGGAGCAGAGTCTTGAAGATGGCAGCGCCTGTGGGGGATAGCAACAGGTAAGTATAACTGACTTCTGCTGCACCACCAGGCCACCTCACCCATGTCACCATTGGATTTTTTTTTTAAACTTTGCAAACACCCTAGAAGGTGACAGAGCTGCTTTAAGGTTGTAGATCTTTGAATTCACTCCTAGTATAGAAATCTGAATGGTCAGTATAATATATTTATAAAGCTCCTAGAAAAAGAGAGACACTAGGATAAAAAAGAGGGACAGGTGGCTTTGGGCCCAATGTAGGGACTGTCCCTCCTAAACAGTGACAGTTCGGAGGTATAGAATCCAATCCTCTTCATTGAGGACCATCGGGGACTTGATGCGCATGTGTTGCAAACGCATCTAATGATTCTCATAATTAAGCACCAAATCCAATGCATTCTTGTAATCTGCAATGTCACACGGCCATGCTTTACTCGGTCAGTGCAGCAGAAGCATGTCGAGTGGCTGTCACTAAAGGCTTGTTTAATATTTTAAGGCAGACACTGTCGTTTGTGAAAAACCTCAATGCTTAAAATTACAGGACCCCTGCACCCAGACCATGTTACTGAAATGAAGTTGTCTGGGTGATTTTAGTGGTCCTTTAAATACTGCCAAATAGAACTACGTGCAGCTTTTTTGAGAAATTGGATAAAGTTTTTCTTAATCCAAATATGGGAAGCAATGCAATATTCATATATATAAAGAATTATTTTGGAAACCAGCTCTCAAAAACTGGGTTCCGGAACGTCAAAATACTAAAACTAACTGTCTTTTAGGTAATGCTCACCAGTTATTTAGCACTCTGTTTATCGTTTGGACTATTTCACATATTATATATATATATCCTGTAATTGACACTGAAAATGGTAGGATCAACCTGCCTTGCATCTGTACCATATGGTCGGACACAAATTATTTCGCGGATTGAAATTCATAGAAAGAATGATTGGAACTAGGCAGCTGCTGGGTTTATAGAAACTGGGTTTATAGAGCAACTTGGAAAATAATAAAGTATGTCTTCTATACTTCTACTGAAGACACTTCTAAGAATTAACGGGACACTATAGTCACCAGAACAACTACAGCTTATAGTAGTTGTTCTGGTGTCTGTAGTTAGTACCTGCAGCCTTTTTGCTGTAAACACTGGCTTTTCAGAGAAAAGACAGCGTTCACATTGCTGCCTAGGGACATATCCAGTGGCCACTCCTCAGATGACCACTGGAGGTGCTTCCTGGGGCAGTGCTGCACAGACGTTCAGCACCCCCACTCACCACCTTGATGATCTCAGCCAATCCAATGCTTTTCTTATGGAAAATTATTGGATTGGCTGAGAGCAGGGGCGTACCTAGAGCATTTGGCACCCGGGGCGGATCCTGTGCTTGGCACCCCGGCAAAAAAAAACCTGTAAAAAAATGTAAAGGTTCTCTTTTTTTTTTTTACAATTTGTTACAGGCAGACAGTCACATACAGTCACAGGCAGACAGTCACACATACACATTTCCTCCGTGCGGCCAGTTTATCAGCTGTTTGCTTGTGTGAGCTGTACTGCCACAGCCCCCTCCAGCCAGGGCCGGTGCAAGGATTTTTGCCGCCCTAGGCAAAAGTAAAGTTTGCCCCCCTCCCCCCCATGTGACATCACAATGCCCCACTCCATATGATTTGCCATGTTAACTAACGCCAGTGCTGCAGTGCCGCCGTGTTTACATTAAAAGGCCTGCAGGGACAGGCTATAGACACCAGAACCACTACATTAAGCTGAAGTGGTTCTGGGGACTATAGTGTTTCTTTAATGTGAGGTAAATTAGAGCTTAGTGCCTCGAATAATATACTAGATTGCCTACTTACAACCAGATGAGGATGATGATGGGCTCTAGCTGCAGTCTGGCTTCACTGGTCTGGTGCAGAACAGTCTCTCTGCAGGCGGTTTGTAACTGTGGTCACAAAAATCACAGTTCTGGGAGAGCGGGAAGCAGCTCCATTTTTTGGGGGTCCTTTACACAGCTCAAGGTCTGGGTTCCAGGGTCCACCTTCATGTTCCACCAATGAGTTTGTTCACAGGGGGTGGAGTGTGTAGGGGATGTCCTGATATGTGTGTAAGGAATGCATTGTGTGAAATTGTGTTTGTATGTGTGAGGGCTGCAAGGTGTGTTTCTTTGTATGTATGGGATGCATTTAATGTGTGTAAGGGGTGCATTGAGTGTGTGTAAGGAATGCATTGTGTGTTTCTGTGTGTGTAAGGGATGCATTGTGTGTAACGGTTGCATTGCTTGTGTATGTGTGTCTGTGTGTGTAATGCATTGTGTGTTTTCCTGTGTGCAAGGGGGTGCATTGTGTGTATGTGATGAATGTCAATCTCTCCTCCCGCTCCAATTTCCTTCTCCTCCTCCCAATTTCTCTTTCTCACCCCCCCTCCTAATTTCTCTCCCCCCTCCTAATTTCTCTTTCTCTTTCCCCCTCCTAATATCTCTCTCCTCCCTCCTAATTTCTCTTCCCCTCCTAATTTCTCTCTCACCCCCTCTCTCCTTTCTCACCCCCTCCTTTTCTCTCCCCCCCCTCCTTTTCTCCTCCCCCCCCTCCTTTCCTTTCTCCTCCCCTCCCTTTCTCTTTCTCACCCCCTTTCTCCTCTTTCTCACACCCCTCCACCCTTTCTCACTTTTCCCCCCACTTTCTCCTCTTTCTCACCCTCCTCCTTTCTCACCCCCTTTCTCCTCTTTCTCACCCCTTTCTCCTTTTCACCCCCCCCCTCTCTTTTTCACCCCTCCTTTTTCCACTCCCCCTCCTTTTCACCCCCTTCTCCTCTTTCACCCCTCTCCTTTTCACCCCCCCCTACCTCTTTTCACCCTCTCCTCCTTCACACCCCCCCTTTCTCTTTTCACCCCCCTCTCTCCTCTTTTCACCCCCCTCCTTTTTTCACCCCCTTTTCTCCTCTTTCACCCCCCCTCCTCCTTTTCACCCCCCCTTTCTCCTCTTTCACCCCCCTCTCCTTTTTCACCCCCTCCTCTTTTTCACCCCCCCTTTCTCCTTTTTCACCCCCACTTTCTCCTCTTTCACCCCTCTCCTTTTCACCCCTCTCCTCTTTTTCACCCCCCTCTCTCCTCTTTTCACCCCCTCCTTTTTCACCCCCCCTTTCTCCTCTTTCCCCCTCTCCTTTTCACCCCTCTCTCTTTCACCCCTCTCCTTTTTCACCCCCCTCTCCTCTTTTCACCCCTTTCTCCTTTTTCACCCCTTTCCTCTTTCACCCCTCCTTTTCACCCCCCCTCTCCCTCTTTTCACCCCCCTTTCTCCTCTTTCCACCCCCCTCTCTCCTTTTTCACCCCCCCTCCCCCCTACCTCCCTGTAGCGTGGCCGAGCACAGTATAGTCCGCGGGTACAGAGAGCAGCTGTCTCCTGTACCCGGCCGGACTAACAGGAAGTGAACACTGAGTGTGCACTTCCTGTTAGTCCGGTCGGGTACAGGAGACAGCTGCTCCCTGTACCCGCCGGCTATGCAGGGCTCGGCCACGCTACAGGGAGGGAGCTGACAGGAGCGCTCCCTCCTGTCAGCCTCTCCTCAGGCTGCGCCCGGGCGGTGCGGTCCGCCCTCATGGACGCACCGCCCGGGCAATGCTGCAGCCGCCTGAGGCTCAATACAGAGCGCTCGGGCGGCTGCAGCATATGGGGGGGGGGGCTGATCATGGCACCCGGGGCGGACCGCCCCCCCCGCCCCCCCCTTAGTACGCCACTGGCTGAGAGCAACAATTGTGATGATGTCAGCCAAGGAGGTGAATCAGGGGCAAGGCCAGCACCGGCAGGCCTGCGTGGCTCTGGAAATAAGGTACGCTTTCTTACCTTTTAAGAGGGACAAGAGGGGGCAAACCACATATTTGTGTTCCTGACCCCATAGTGTTCCTTTAACCAAACAGAGAAACAATGTTTAGCTAACTATATAGTGAAACACTCATGTCTTTTAATGTTGCATGGAAAAATTGCATTAGGCCCGCTTGTGGTTAACAGATTTTTATGAGGACAATTGTGATTGGACTTCAAGATGTGAGTATTTGTGAATTCTCACAATTGTCAGACTTTCCCCAATGTGAGTCAAGCAGAATTCCCTAATAGCATTGCTTTGCCCCTTCTTCGTATTCTTCCCTCCTTTAGATCCCAATTTAAAAAAACACAAGAAAGTGAGATAAAGAAGGTCCGTTAAAGCAATATTGCAATTATTGCCAGTTATGAACACAAAAAAAACAGTGAAATTCAAAAATGGGTCTTTGTGGACTTTCACCTTAAAGAAATAAATTACATTATTAATGGGAGGAGAATCCACAATAATTACAGTAAGAATTCTATTCTGAAATGGTAAAATACACAAAGACACCAAATATCAAGTACAGATGTTTATTTGGGAACCCTTTCCCTAAGATGTGGAGTCAATGGAGGTAAGACTTTGAAAACACTACAACTTGAATAACAGGTAGATGGAGGAAGTGTAGATCAGTCCTAGTGATGGGCCCATGAGTTAGTTTCAGGCCAACTTACATTCTCTTTGCAAAAGTATAAGTATTGCTAATCAAAGATCTTAAGCTGGAAAGATAAGGTCCTGCTAAGCATTATGAGACATTTTGTGACCTAAGAAACAGACAAAAAAAAGCTTAGAAAATATCTTGGTATTCCACACATATTGGCTTTAGGACAGCATTACGTGCATGTTTGTTTTGAGGAAAGGCTCACAGACACAAAAATGACTAACAAAAAACATAAAGGACTTTCCAGGAGAACTGTAAGTCCAAATGATATATAGACTAAAATAGACAGCGATGGAAAACTCTGCGTACCAAATTCAGACTCCAGTGAGGAGTAAATAAATGTATAGCAATAACATAACAGAAAATGAGTACATACAATAAGGATGTACAAAGAGCTGGACTCCCAGAAAACCAGTCGACTCCTTGCAAGAAATGTGCAATATCTAGTTATCGAAAGGTTCCCGTTAGAAACTCTAGGAAGAAATCCAAGAAAGGAATGTTCTGCAATGAATGATGAGGTCAGTAGCAAACATTTAACCTTCGCCTAAGGTGCTGATGATCCAACTGGACAAACTTTCATCATGCAATATTATCTGCTCAACACCAATCCATCTAAGACTGGAGTCAACAAAGGGACATAGCTAGAAGAGGTCAGGTGGAACATGATACTTAACAGCTTTCTTAGATGTTCTGCTGATGCCACCCTAAGCCAATCAGGATTACATACAGATTTGTAGTACATGCTAAAGAGACCAGGTAGATAATCCTGATATTCCCCTTCCAGAGAGGCATTTTAAGCACCTCCACTCTTCTCCATGTGTCCACTAGTTAGGCTGGATCCTGATAAAGGATGGACTTAGACATTAAGGAATTTTCAACACAACTGTCCACTAACACAAAGTTCTGGACATCATAAATATGAACTCTTTATCCCTCTTTGGTGTTTGACACAAGCAACTGTCATGACACTACTCATCTGAATGCAGATGTGTGAGACTTGACCAATACTGAACCAGTACGGAACGTCACTTGTATACCTGAAGACTGATTGTGAAAACACCTCCAGACCACTCCACAGCCTTTCAGCCTGGCATCTGTTATCACCATAGAGCATGAAAAAGACACGCTCTTGAAATGATGACTGACTCACCACCCCAGAGATTTCCAGATATTTGGTTCCAAAATAATTAATTGGGAAACATCCTCATAGTTTCATCCCACTAGCAAAGCCAAGACAGCTGAAGCAAATATACCCAGTGGCGTACTAAGGGGGGGCGGCGGTGGCGGTCTGCCCCGTGTGCCACTCACTAGGGGGGTGCCCGGGGAGAACTTTCACAGAGGCGGCATTCCCATCCAGCAGCAGTAGGTCCTCTGCTCTCGCGGATCACGAGAACAGAGGACCCTGCTGCTGCTGCTAGATGGGAAACGAGGATGCAGAGTTCTGGGCCCCTCTTCACTGCCCATCCATGCTGTGCCACCGGACCACCAGTCGAGGAGGATGGGACGGGCAGGTAAGTGGCAGCACACACTATACACACTGCATCTGCACACACTATACACACACTATACACACACTGCATACACTATACACACACTGCATACACACACTGTATACACACACACTGCATACACTACATACATTATACACACTTCATACACTACACACACACTGCATACACTATACACACACTGCATACACTACATACACTACACACACACTGCATCTGCACACACTATACACACATTGCACACACTACACACACACTGCACATACTACACACACACTGCACATACTACACACACACTGCATACACTATACACACACTGCATACACTATACACACTGCATACACTACACACACTGCATACACTACACACACACTGCATACACTATACACACACTGCATCTGCACACACTATACACACATTGCACACACTACACACACACTGCACACACTACACACACACTGCATACACTATACATACTGCATACACTATACACACACGGCACACACTATACACACACTGCATATACTACACACACACTGCATACACTATACACACACTATACACACACTGCATACACTATACACACACTGCACACACTATACACACACTGCAAACACTATACACACACTGCACACACTGCACACACTATACACACACTGCACACACTATACACACACTGCATACACTATACACACTGCATACACTATACACACACTGCATACACTACACACATACTACACACACTGCATACACTATACACACACTATACACACACTGCATACACACACCGCATACACTATACACACACTACAATACACACTCTACACACACTATACACACACTACACACTATACACACACTGCCCACTATACACACACTGCATACACACACACACTGCCAACACTATACACACACTACACACACTATACACACACTACACACTATACACACACTGCATACACTATACACACACTGCACACACTATGCACACTGCATACACTATACACACACTATACACACTGCACACACTATACACACACTGCATACACTATACACAAACTACACACACTATACACACACTGCATACAGTATACATACACTGCATACACTATACACACAATGCATACACTATACACACTGCATACACTATACACACACTGCATACACTATACACACACACTGCATACACTACATACATTATACACACTGCATACACTACACACACACTGCATACACTACACACACTGCATACACTATACACACTGCATACACACACACTGCATACACTATACACACACTGCACAGTGCATACACTATACACACTTCATACACTATACACACACTGCATACACTACACAGACTGTATCCACTATACAAGCGCACACACTGCATCCACTACGCAAACACACACTTATACATGTGTATCTGTATGTATGTGTATCTGTTTGTGTGTTTGTGTCGGTGTGCCTGTGTATCTGTATATATGTGTCTATCTGTATGTGTGCCTGTCTCTCTCTCTGTGTTTGTATCTGTATCTGTGTATGACTGTGTTTCTATATAACTGCATGTGTGTACCTGTGTGTCTGTGTATCTGTATGTGTGCCAGTGTGTGTATATGTGAGTATATGTGTTTATGTACATACATCTCAGCATTTCGTCTACACTACATACAAATACAACACTGCATCCAAATGTCACCACCATATTCAAAAACCACACTACAGAAAAATGCACGCCTTCAAATGCCAATACGTGCAAACACATCCGTACATTCACTCACACAAACTCAATACAAAAACATGCTTACATTAAAAATATACAAACGCTGCTCAGTGCCAAATACATTAAAAAAAATTGTGCAGTTGTTTTTTACATTTCAAAGTTGGGAGAGGGGTGGGGGGGTGCCAAATAAAGGATCTGCCCGGGTGCCTAATGCTCCAGCTACGCCCCTGAATACACCTTAATCAGTAAGATCTCCGTGGAATCCACCATTGTGGTATATTTAATTTGTGAGCTCCATGGTACAGCCCATGCAGATATTCTCTATTAGGATTAGGTGAAAAAACAAGTTTCATAGAGGTAGAGTCAGTAACAAAGCATGCTTACACTTCGGTGCAACGTCTTTGTTTTGTCATGTCATTTTGGAATAAAGCATTCAATTTTTTACACATTCTTACAGAGAATGATATAGAGTGTGGTCTAAAATCCAATGTCCTATATGATACATCTTGTGCAGCTAGGCAGAAAGGAATAAAAATAAGAAAACATATTTTTTTAATGAAAATAAATCAACACTTAGACAAGAACAGGAAACTTGAGTAACCTGGGTGATGGTTTCTTAAAGAATCTAATCCTTGAAAAAAACTCTAATATGCGCAACACCCCTAGGAGTAGGGAATGTGTTTACTTCAGTTTATAAATAAATGGGAATTTTTTTCTCAAACACAGAAGATGTAAGAGAACCTGCAGAAAAAAAACCAAATTATAATTTTTTTAGAGTCAAAACTGACACAAGTTGGAGGGAGGGAAAGTACCTACCCTTAATAGGGCAACTATGAGGCAAATGATCAACGACCCTGCAAAGTCAACCGGCAATAAACTTTCAAAGAAGGTCCTAAGTGAGAGTCATTAATGGTCCCCTCATACTGACCATTAACAGAAACCAGAAATTGCACCAAGTCAATAAACCGTAAGCTACGTCCTGGAACTTGCCAAGCATAGAACCTTCCACAGTCACACAAATGGAATTCTCAGGTGCCTTGTTCAGTACGTATGTGGTCCAGTCTATGAAGAGGGGTCCAGGGAGATAGGTAGGAAATAAATCCTCTTCACAGCAGGTTGGAAATTTTAGGTCAAGTCCAAAGGAGAGACAACAAGCAAAAAACGCAACCATACATAGCAGAGCTGTGATTTAAACAAGATGGCCTCCATAAGAACTGGGGAGAGAACACAGTCAGAAATGGGACTTCCAACAAAAACTATTGGATTCTAAGCATGATGCTAACAGAGACATAGACATCAGTGCTAACCAGGCAGTTTACCAACTTAGGAAATCAAAAAAGTACTAACACACTGAATCACTACTGAATAACTTAGATATATAGACTATAGATATATAGATAACGGCAATTAAAATCTAATTTTACTCGCATGTAGATCCAGTAAGGCATGGTTTATCTTCGTATTATCCCTAGACCAACTATTAGTTACTAGAGATGTTGCGAACCGTCCGCAAACTTCTCACGAACGGTTCGCCACAAGCTGTTCGCGGTGAACAGCTCATGGCGAACCACGGCGAACCGTTCGCGACATCTCTATTAGTTACCCCTTACCATTCTTGCTTCGAAAAGGGGGAAAACTTCAGAACTTGACCAGTTTTACCTGTTCCTGCATTGGGCATAAACAGAAATGTGGCCTGGAGGTTTATCTGAAAAGGGGTGGGTGCAAGCGTTGCTGGGTGTTCTGCATTTTCCTGGTGGGGAAGGTCAGAATCCCAACATGGGTGATTAATGGTCTCACATATTAAAAATAAAACAGGATTATGTTTTCCAAACAGTGAGCTAATTCTGAAGAAGGCAGAATTGAATAATTTAGTAAAACAGGTCTATACAAATTCGGAGACACTATATTGTCATGTTAACATTTGAATAGAGTTACATTTATATTTCAGGTATCCCGAGGCACAGCAAGTATCTGCTTCTGTGCCAAGTCTTTAAAATAAAAAAACAAATAAATTAAGAGATGTCTTTTTCAAGAGTGAAATATGGGCATGAATGAGGCAAAAAGTTTGTGTCTTCATAAAAGGGTTAATGAAAGTTATAAATGATAATATATGTACATATCTTAAAGAAAATAACAATGCTTTTGCTGACTTTTTGTCGTTAAGTTACATCTAATATTATTTTTTTTTAAATATGAGCGTCCATTGCAAATGGTCTGTTTGGAGACCAAGGAGTCCATGGGGGAAGGACAAAAGAATCGGTTTGCGTAAGAACTGACATACATCCAGCCCAATAAAGCATGTTGCTTAGGTCTGTTTGTTGGTAACTTGTCAACCCTTTGGAAAGTACAGAAAAATAATTTTTTCTTTTTTACACAACACAAATGCTGTTTCATCTGGTGTGTGACTAAAGTGATCCCACAGTTTTAGCCCCCTTACCAGTCTTTATCTGTTTAGAGAACTAACTTGCATTTAATTTTTAACCCTTTAAGGCCCTGAACAGTTGACCGATACATTGCCACAATCAGGATTAACAGTGCCCCATCCAATGAGGACCATACCGAACTCCAAAAAATGTGTTCAAACTTTTTTCAATCACGTATTTCAATGACATTGTAAAGCACCTGCCAGTTAAGGTCTGAACCAGAAAATTCTCTAAAGCATAGCCGAGGAAGTAAATTCTTATATTTGTTACAATTTTTCATTTCACTGTAAGCTGTTATAATGTCTGCCTCGTGTATTATTACACCTCTGCATTCTTAAAATTGTCATTTTACGGTCTGTTATTATGAGTTTTGCCTCTTTAGCTTTCAAGAAAATTAATCTACAGAAGAACATACCTAAATATCAGTTAATTACTTGTATTCATTATTTTCTGCTTTCCAAATCTATTATTAGTAATATTGCACGTGTATCCCTAAAATACAGTATATTATTCATACTTGTTTGTGCAACAAAGGTTCATATTTATCAAAACTATATTATGTTAAAATGAAATAGACTCAGAGTGAGCTAATAGGCTTATAATGTATCATTAATGCGAAATATTAAGTAATAAAACTGAAAATAAAACAATAACGGCAACAAAATATTTTTTTATTAAAAATAAAATTAAAAATACGACAAATATTTTTGAAACAAAATCAAAAAAAGTTTGGAATTGCTAGAAGTTTGCATATCAGACATGTGGAGGTTAATTCAGTAAAACAAGAATTGTGGAAAATTGAGATTGAGAGTTGCAAATGTGAAGCCTAAATACTCGAAATGTTAAAACATCTCAACTTTAGTTTTTTTCCAATTCTGCAATTTGGACTAAATTTGCATTTCCCACAATTCTTCGCAATTGCCAATTTAGTGAATACACTCTCTAAAGTATATAATCTCTGACTTTATTAGAGGAACCAGTGACAGATCAAAGTGTATATTAAATGTTGGGTAGAAATTGATGGTAAAAAAAAAAAATAATAGCGGTTTTTAGGTTTTAATAATGATAAGAATTGTCTTTTATTTACCTATTTAAATATGATGAAAAAAAAAATATTTTACTTTCATTTAGTTTTGCTTTTGAATTTTGTTTTTTCCAACAAATCACCACATTTTTTGTAACTTATTCTAATGCAACAAGCCTGACTTTCACCACCGACATGTTTCTAATGTAATAAATGTTTTTATAAGAAGCTAATAACCGTTCTGACTCTGCGTTCTCAGACTCTGAAAAATAATTTTGCACAAAGTCAATTCCTGTCTCGTGTTCAGAGTCAGATCTAATGCTCACACAATCCCAATTCACACACTTTCTTAATTTAGGCCATTTTCTTCATATAGTTTCATCAACGCAATTCCAAGGATTCTCCTAGGGCCGTCTTAACAGCATTATAGGCCCCCGGGCCAAGCAGTGCACTTGGACCATGCCTACTCAACCACTCACAGGAATAAAAATGTAATTATCGATAAAATTAAGCTCATATTCATTGCTTACTTCAACATCAGTGTTTAAACATTAAAAAACATGCTGTACAACAGAGATTAATCTACAGAAATGTTTAGTGGGTAACTGGGACTGTTAAGAATATTAGAATCATTTTATTTTTGCTTCAAGAAATGATGTGTGTTGATTTCGTCTTGCTTATAAACAATTAGTATGCGTGCATTGTTTTCATCAAGGTCAAGATAGGTATTTGTAACAGCAAGATCACATGTACAGATAACAGCTGATACTGAGGTGATTAGTCCACCTAAATGTTTTAATTAAGAGGGTTTGAAGATTCTGAATAAATCTCCCAGAATAATATAATGAAAGGTTGGCAAACCTATGGGGTTCCTATGCTCTTGGGGCCCCCAGGCAACTGCCCAGCGCGCCCATGTGTTAAGACAGCCATGGATTCTCTGGCCTGCACTAAATGATAAAATATATAATATTTTACCTGATTAAAACTAAAGAGAGCTATGTATTAATAATGCGGGACATAATCCCCAACACTGTTGCCAATGCTGTAGATTTAACAAGAGTGATAGCTATGTCTAGGGACCGAATCGGCAGTCGGCACCAGTTTGCATCCTTGTGTGTAGCGAGGTTCTTGCCAGCCCACAACTACAATGGTGAATGAGGGTTATCGAGACATAAAACCATTTAAAGGAACAGTCACAATCAAACAACAAAAGACAACAAGGAGATCAGTTGCAGCTAGCTAGTTAACGGATAGTGTCCATTCCCTTTATGCAGCCAATTTGAAAATTAATTTTATAACATTTATAGACAAATTGTGCATCTTTAATAAACTATGGGAATCCTGGCACTGTAAGAGGGGTCCCCTACCTTAAACCCCCCTTTGTTATTGATTTGTTTACACAGATATACCTCTCGTAATGATCGTAATGCTATTGCTCATTTTATCGTATATTTATTAATCTGTACAATGAGTGTTTAATAAGTAATTATATAAACAAAACAAGTAAAACACATTGTTGCCTGTATAAAAACACGGTTTTTATTCATACCCATGGGTTTAAAGGCATTATGTAGTATTACATGCAGACATACCCTACATGGTAACATATAGTGCCCAGACACACTGCATCGAGTGCCAATTTGTGCCTCAGTTACCCATACGTTTTTGTATGGATCTGAATGAGCTTTTTCGGTTTCAGAACACAGTATAATGACCGCCTCTGTATACACCTAGTTATCATTAGAGAAAGTAATCTGTATGTTTTAAATAATTTTGTTAGGTTAAGGTTAGACAGTGATTTTTTTATGGGTGCACACACTCATTAATGACGTATTGTGAGTGCCAGTGATGGTAGGTAGCCGTACTCCTAGACTCCTCGCCGCTATGACACGTTATAAGAGACAATATAGACTAGGTTTATATCTGTGACACTATAATGGACCTGCATTCTTTCACTGATGAATCACAATGTTTTGGGATGAGGCGTAGCACAATGGCAAAACATCCTTCACAAAGAGACTAGCCATTTTAGTTTAAAAATGTCATCATCTATCTTTAATACACTCTCCTTATCCCCAAAGGCGATGTAATATAGTCAGAAAAATCACATTGAGAAAAATAAATAAAAATTGGAAAAAAACATATTATTACGTAAAATCTCACACTTATAGTTTAATTTTCACTTTTGCGTGGATATGATGTCTATATTTTCATTCAGTCTGTGTTTTCGGTTACCATTTTAAATTTGCGTGTTTCAGATTTTCTCGCTAGTGTGGCTTCATTGAACGGCATTTGACTTCACTGACAAACATTGAAGCATAAATAACTAAACCCCAACATTTAGTAAATGAAATCCAAACAGCAAAATTCAGGCTAAAATAACATGAAAAATTCTCCATCTTGGCTAAAAACACAGCTTGGCTTTTTTAGCCTTAATTTTGCCATTCAGTCTGAATCTGATCAATTTGGAACAGGAGCCTGTATTAGCCAACCATGATCCCATTGCGCCAGTCTGCCCTCCTGCACATAAAATCTGTTAGCTCTTGCAGCGGACGCAATGTAGTTGTCAAACCGTTTGAATATGGATTGACTTCTTACCATGGGAGTGCGGCAGGCCAGTCCTGGCACCATAACTACTATAGTAGCTCCTTTAATGGCTTCACTTGAAATAAATATGTTGTGAGAGCCAGATATCCCACAAGGCCACAGAGGCCATGACCTTGTAGCGGCAAGCGGGGGTGGGCGACCTCAAAGCTGTTGGGGATTTGACGCCAATCTCCTGGTCGCAAATCTATTTCCCAGTATCTAACGTCTGATGTAGAAGCCAGGAGGTCCACTGTACCGCTCCTTGTACATACACTAAGCAGAGAGATATACAGTGCACACATGTAGACACACAGGATATACACTAAGCAGAGAGATATACAGTGCACACATGTAGACACACAGGATATACACTGATCAGAGAGAGCTATACAGTGCACACATGTAGACACACAGGATATACACCGATCCGAGAGAGATATACAGTGCACACATATAGACACATGGGATATACACTTAGCAGAAAGATATACAGTGCACACATGTAGACACACAGGATATACACTAAGCAGAGAGATATACAGTGCACACATGTAGACACACAGGATATACACTGATCAGAGAGAGCTATACAGTACACACATGTAGACACACAGGATATACACCGATCCGAGAGAGATATACAGTGCACACATATAGACACATGGGATATACACTTAGCAGAAAGATATACAGTGCACACATGTAGACACACAGGATATACACCGATCAGAGAGAGATATACAGTGCACACATGTAGACACACAGGATATACACCGGTCTGAGAGAGATATACAGTGCACACATGTAGACACATGGGATATACACTTAGCAGAGAGATATACAGTGCACACATGTAGACACACATGATATTCACTAAGCAGAGAGATATACAGTACACACATGTAGACACACGGGATATACACTGAGCAGAGATAGATATGCAGTGCACACATGTAGACAAACATGATATACACTGAGCAGAGAGATATACAGTGCACACATGTAGACACATGGGATATGCACTGAGCAGAGAGATATACAGTGCACACATGTAGTCACACAGAATATACACTGAGCAGAAAGATATACAGTGCACACATGTAGACACACAGGATATACACTGAGCAGAGATAGATATACAGTGCACATATGTAGACACACAGGATATACACTGAGCAGAGATAGATATACAGTGCACACATGTAGACACACAGGATATACACCGAGCAGAGAGATATACAGTGAACACATGTAGACACATGGGATATACACTGAGCAGAGATAGATATACAGTGCACACATGTAGACACACAGGATATACACTGAGCAGAGCGTGATATACAGTACACACATGTAGACACACGGGATATACACGGAGCAGAGATATATACAGTGCACACATGTAGACACACAGGATATACACTAAGCAGAGAGATATACAGTGAACACATGTAGACACACAGGATATACACTGAGCAGAGAGATATACAGTACACACATGTAGACACACAGGATATACACTGAGCAAAGAGATATACAGTGCACAGATGTAGACACACAGGATATACACTGAGCAGAGAGATATACAGTGCACACATGTAGACACACAGGATATACACTGAGCAGAGAGATATACAGTGCACACATGTAGACACACAGGATATACACTGAGCAAAGAGATATACAGTGCACATATGTAGACACACAGGATATACACTGAGCAGAGAGATATACAGTGCACACATGTAGACACACAGGATATACACTGAGCAGAGAGATATACAGTGCACACATGTAGACACACGGGATATACACTGAGCAGAGATAGATATACAATGCACACATGTAGACACACAGGATATACACTGAGCAGACAGAGATACAATGCACACATGTAGACACACAGGATATACACCAAGCAGAGAAAACACTGTACAGCCTCTATTCCTCTAAAAACAGCACAGACTCTACCCCCCTAAACATACACTACACCCCCTTCTCCCCCTAAACACACAATACAACCGCTATCCCCCCAAACACACACTACAGCTCCTATACCCCTAAACACACATTAAAGTCCATATCCAAGTACAGCCCCTATTCACATGCGCACACACATACTACACCGCAAACAGCCATATCCACAGACAGAGCCCCACAACAAGCTCTCTTCTACTACTACATTTTTACTCCCTGTCCCCGCCCTCCCCCCAAACTTGTATTATCACATCTAAATGTGATAGACAAATTTATAGGTACCAATAATCTTTTCTTGTTTTTTTTTTTTTTTACCGCATTTTTATAAGCGGACTTGTCTACCATGTTTGCATCGATGTTGGCCAGTGAGATCGGTGGCTATCGGTGGTCCTAAACCACTATTTTTATACACCAGCATTCAGGACAGAAGGCAGATCGTTTTTGGATCGTTCTGTTTGTACATTGAGGCTGAATACTTTAATCCATATTGCTGTCAAGGTGTGATGGGAGTTGGGCATAGATCTAAAATCTGTTCATACCACATTTTTTATTCATTGTGGAGAATTCTTACCTATTATTATTTTTTATTATATTATTCTTAGTTTCCTCAATCACTAATATTGTCACAAGGAGGAAAAAAACAATGAACTTTTTGATCGAGCTAAGAGAAAGAGTTGTCTGTGGTGTTAAATATTCCACATGTACATGCTGTAAGTCAAGCCTGCCTTAACAGAGGACACACAAAGATTATACATTATTTTACTATGTTTAAAACCCCACCTGGGGAGGGCAGTAGGTGGTAGAAGGGGTACAGCTCGTCACCTGCTTACAAACATTGTACAGGGGAGGGAGCAAACACAAGAACTCTCTCTTGAATTAATGCTTATTTATTTAATATTTATTATTTCAGTTTTTGCCATTAGTTAACAATGGACAGGAAGATATGCACCATGACTGCTATTTCACACAATATTATGCAAGTTAGTCTTAATCAATGCAAATGGACGTTTTATGAAGAGATCCCTAAATTATTCTGTGGAAAAAAAATAGCATACGATAGATGAATAATGCAGGATACATTGTGTAATGTGACAAATAAATACAAAATAATAAAAAATGAGAAACAAACTGACTCTGCAACAACAAACCAAAGAGTAACTGTATATAGATAGAATAGAGTGCACGGAAAATATTCTGCCATGTATATTATTTTATTATTTTTACTGGTTTTATATATCTATACACAGTTGGAAAAACAACCAAGGTAGAGGCTACTTCTTTCTCAGCTACAATGTCCATTTATCATCTCATTTCTATATCAAATTAGCTACAAATCATTGCTTAGTAAATAAACCCCACCAACAGACAGATGGATCTATCGATCGATGGAAAGATTAGTAAGGCGTATAAATATATTTTACAGCAATTTGGCATTGAATCATTCTGATTCAAGCTTCTACACAAAGTTAAGAAACTCAATTACAAAAATTTAAAATACAAGAGTTTACTCTGTCAGTAGTCTGTCCGAATGCTGCATACGAATATATTCTAAATAAGTTGCTTAACCATCTATTGTGAAAATGATCTGGTAATTGAAGGATCAAAAGTTTAAATGAAAGGGATACTCGGCACAGGAATAGATTTTTAGAGTGGGACAGACACGGTATATAATATACTATAAATATATATATATACAAGCAGTAATTTAATATATGAAAAGAGATTAAAATAGTATTTCTTCTGTCATTTTATGTCTTTGTGTCCTGATGAAAGCTCCGATCGGGAGCTGAAACGTTGACTTTGCTTGAATTGACAATAAATTGGATGAACTAAACCCAAGAGTGCCGGTAATTTTTTGATATATATATATATATATATATATATATATATATATACACACACACACATATAAGTATAACATAAAATCTTAAGACGGAATTATTTTTTACATACACTAATATACATGTAAATATTTCTACAACTGTACAAGATATGTTTTTTTTTTAACATTGAAGAAAAATCTTTAATCAAATAATGCTGCCCTACAGAACATGCTGGTGTTATACACAAAGATTTTTGTAATGCTGCCTATCGTTAGCAAATGGAATACAAGCAATAGAATCAATTTCTTTAAGCAGTAACTCGTAATATTAACTAGGGTAAGTTTTGTGGACCTGACATGATCGCTGCGTGTACTGAGAGCTTGTCAATCATTAACCTAGCATTATTTACAACCCACGGCAACATAAAAATCCCTGTATTAAGGTAAAAAGGTTTCTCTCTCTAGTGGTAAACGGAGGAAATGAAGTATCCAGTCCACTTCTAACGGAGCACCACAGCATAATATTCATAGAGAAAAAACTGATAATTTCAGCTAACGTCCCATAAAACCTACACTATGTCATCCATAAAGAATACAGAATGAGATGCAGATGGAATAACTTTAAAATGATTTATGTCTGTGAATTGTACTGTTTTTACCCAGAAACCATGCAATTTAATGCTATTTAAATGATAGAAATTACAATTTTCTATCCTCTTGTCTTACAGATACCGTCAATCTTACAACAAGTTAAAAGAAGATACACATATTGTGCAATATCAAAAACATTAAAATAAGACACGTTTTATCACAGTAAGGTAGTGTGCCACTTTATCTTTTATTCATAATCTTGTACAATGTAGAATTTAGCAGAAATGTATACATTGTTCTGTTGGAAGAGGAAGTTTCTCAGTAAATGGAAAAGGATGACAACAAATGATGTGATGTCAAAAATTGCTATTAAAGTTTGATTCATTTTTTTTTTTTTTTTTAAATGCATGTTTTTTTATGGTTTTTTTTTCCCTCCACTTATTAGAAACTTTAACAGAGGGGGGAAAAACGTTCTGCTTCATTAAATCGGACACTCAGCGATTCTGTGAATGCTCGTGCCGAAATTAGTTCTCTATTTGGAGATGCCCCTTTGAGAGCAACTCCTATTGAGAAGGGAACAAAGGCCGTGACCCTAAAGGTCAAAGAGTAACTGAGGAAGCCTGACCTTTCTTTGTTGATGACTGCCCTGTTTATTTTGCTTACTAAAGATCACCAATACATTTACTAAAGAGGATTAGAAAGGTTATACCCCCAGGGATAGAATTCAGGCAAGTGGTAAAATCCAGGGCTCAGAACATTAGCATGCATTATCAAGGCCTACTCTCTCCTATAATGAGTGGCATTAGCTACAGGTTTCAAAAACCTCTCTCTCGGTGACAGGGGACAAGTTGAAGTTCAGCAATTACTTTAGCGATGTGTCACCCGTCTGTCTGGCAGAATAGACGTTAGAATACGATCAGTTAAAAATAAAGAGCTTTTTGATGGCATGGGGGAAAGAAGTGTTAATGAATGCAGTAAAATATTTATTTTGATGTATTTTTTAAAGATACATTTTAGGAGTTCCAATAGTGCATTCAATTCATGTGAGCTAATGTGGTAACCCATATACGGTACAGTAGAATACATAGAATTTAAGAAAATGATATTTCTCTTTATTCTGATAATGGCTAATATGTCGCAAAAATAAATATTAAAACCGAACTGTATATGTATATTAAATTATCTATTTATCTATTTATCTATCTATCTATACACACATACACACATACACAAATATACACATACACAAATACACACACACCTATTTGTCTATCGGTCTAGAGAAAGAAGCACTGTCATTTAATATTGAAGTGAGACGGAGGTAGAGCTATTATAAAACTGACATATCGTGGTTTTGATCTGCTAGTAAATGATTATTGCATACACTTACACTAATCACACATTTTATGTTTCCCTTATTGTATTTTATGTTAATAGTTTCCTAAAATTAATTCATTTTGAAAAAAAACAAAACCCCCAAAGAACATATTTAAAAAATAAATAATTAATGCATTTATTTTTAAATAAACACAAAGTATTGACTCTTTTTTTTCAGCAATATATTTACCTAGCTGCTGAATTCCTGATATTTGAGAGTTTTGTCCATGGTTTGTGTTCTGCTCTAAGTCTATAAGTGCCATTCTGATGGGCCACCAACATTTGACATGCAAATCCTAAATGTATCTTCTTAGAATGTTTACGAGGACACGGTACGATTCGGTTAGTTACATAAATTAATGACAAATTGTCTCGGAACAAAAAGCAGCATAAAAGGCTCAGACAGGGCAGGGGTTTGTTTACCAGAGTGCGGGGTCTGGAGACTTGAGAATCAACTTGCAATATTTAGGCTGAGTTGGAATAAAATCTCCAATTCAGCTTTTTTTTCCATAACTGCTAATTTTGTCTTAATTTTATAAATGAGCTCTACACTCTACCACAATGTCTTGTTCAGTAAGTAAATCCGTACACTATGCCATTCTGGCGATTTCTATTGATGTAATATTCAGATCTTTCCTATTTTTGTACATTTGTGTCAGAAACATTCGAAGTGTTATTACATATTTGTCTTTTAAAACAGCTCCCTTTGATAATTGCCCCCCACCCCCCCAAAAAAATAAAATTATTTATATATATAAAACCTTTAGATTGAATGCTCACAAGTTGTACAAAAGTTATCTTGTACTGTAAATATTTTTAGATTGTAAGCTTACGGGCAGGGTCCTCTGTTCCTTTTGTGTTCATTATTTGTTTGCATTTCCTTTTTTGTACAGCACTGCGGAATATGTTAGTGCTATATAAATACCAAATAATAATAATATAAAGTGTAATACCTTTTAATAAATGTAGTGAATAATGCCACTATAAATTAAATACAGCAATCACAGACTAAAGGGAAAAATTAACAAACAAAAAAAAGACCAAAATGTCCAGTTATTAGTATTTAGATAATACCTTTCTCTTTAATACACTGTATAACTGCAAAGGCATTAAACATTGAAATGCTCAACATTTATTTTATGCAGTTGGCAAACAGTGTTAAACAATTATATATATAATTGTTTGACGGAGGACATTCTATAAAATCACAAATAAATATTTTCAATATTTTCTGCTATTGAGATCAGTAGTACGCACTGTTCTATTTGTATACTATGTGCGTGACAGTATGCGTAGCTGATATACTTGGAAAGTAATGTAATTCCTGCCCATTTTACGGCAAAGAGGCAGAAAACGCTCTTCGAATTTCAGAGAGGTTTGCAGAGGATTGTAAAAACATAGAACTGAAAATTGCAGGATATCTAAAGAATTGTATTCTCCAAAATGGAATTTCTGTGAAACGTAAACCAAACTGCGAAATTTAGCCCAAAATAACTGATTTTAAAAAATAAATAAATCCAACTCTGTTATAGTTAACCTAAATTCTGCATTTTTTTTAAATTGACTACAGTTCGGAGCTTAGTGAATAAACAACAGGGGGTTAATATTTACAGCAAAGTTTGTAGCCCAACAAGCGACATGGTTTGCATTACTGAATATTAATTGGGACTGATCTGTGCTTTGTAGAGTTTGATAGGATTCGCTCACTGGTGAGCAAGAAAATGGCCACTGCTATTGTTCCAATGCTATAGCAATATCTATAATAAAAAGCACAGAGCATTATTTTGCACTAAATTGCCAGTTTTAAACAAGTCTAAATGTTCTAATCCAGCCCAAGATTAATATTTATTTTCTTGGCCTGAAATTTTCACTCCAGTTTTGCAATTATCGTAAGTCACTATTTAGTGAATAGATCTCACAGTGAAAATTTAGCAGAGAGAAGAAAACTCTCCCTTCTAAAACATTTTCCAGAATATCTGACATTTGCATGGTCTATTTGTAACTTTTGGATAATACTCCCCTTATCAAACGACAAACATTTAATGAAAGGTAAAAATGTTTAAAAGCTTGCAGGTAAAATATTATTAGAATCAGATATTTTGCCTCTGTCTTGGCAAGTAATTTATAATACATATTTAATTTAATATATACAGAAGGAAGCGGACGGAAACACTTATATCTAATAATTAATATAAGGTAATGTAACATACAACCGTTATCTTGTCTATATCTTTATTCTAATTAATATTAATTATGATTCCTAAGCCACTGTATTACTTCCGAACTGTTCCTTAGTGCATACAAATGAACAGAATCTAATTTATATATTGAGCATCAAAGTTTTTATAAACTATTTTGGTAAAACACAGCAGATAAACAACTAGATCAGTCTATAGAAATTTCTAATAAAAAATCTCTATGTGAAAATGGACAGAATCTGTGTGCTGCCCTGTTTATGACAAATAATTTCACAAGACTTTATATTAAAAGGCATATTAGAAGCATAATTAGAAATATCACATAATATTTCACTGACACAATGAGTTTTATTTACATTAATCACATGTTTTAATTATAGTGGTTTCAAACTAACTAAAATATTTTAAATTATACAAGTGTTGGTGTAAATGTGTTATTAAATTTTATTCATTAAATTCTATGTATTATTATACACAATATATACATGTGTTTAAAAATATTCAAATTAATAACTAGATTTTTTAGAACTGATTTTTATACGTAATTTCCAAATAAATCTAATTACTGTAGTTTATGTCAACTTAATATTAATTTATAAGTAGGCAATGTGAATGGTTATTTTAAATATGTCTGTAGTGATGTTAATTAATACGAGAAAATAACAATATATGTCTAATTGTTTGGAATGTAGTTCAACAAAATTGTATTATTGACGCTACAAGTAAATTAATTCTAACAAACATCAATACAAAACTAAAAATAATAATATTAAAACAAAACATTTGCCTATGCTAAATATTATCATAATAATGATTTGTTATGTACTCTATTTATAGACAAATTCACAGTCACTCCATATTGCTGGGACTTTTATATCATTGAAATATGAATACAATTTAGAACACTGTAATTCATATGTATTCTCATTCTGCAAACAGGTAATACAAGGATTTTTTAATCAAAGTAATGTACCGAAATATTTCTTGTAATTAATCTAAAGAAATTAAAAATAGACCGTAGAATAATGTTAAAATTGTATTAACCCAAAGTAAATTTTTAACAGTGAGAATAAAAATGATCATTTGATTAAAATGTTATCAATAAGCAATTTTATATCTAATCACAACATTTTTGATAGTAGTAAATAATGTTTTAATACTTTCAATATTCATTCTGGAGAGAATCAAGCAATCAGACATTTTAAAGTAAAACATATTAGAGGCTTGTGGATTTCTCTGCAGATACATGAATTCTTTTACTCAAATTATTTAACATTTAACATTTCAGATACACAGACTACCTGTGTTTTTTTTTGTACGTTATACAACACAAATACTGCAAAAATACATGAACCTGTTAAAGGCTTTGTGTGTATACAAAAATTGTGTTTATTTAACCAAACTCCTGAATATACTATCATCTAGAGCTAGACGTACGGTAAAATCTGTTCTGTACTTTACAAAAAAGCTTTTATATACTTTTCTATTTTCTATTTTTTTTTTCCCTTTTCAAAATTAGTTTAGCTGTAATTGTAACTCATTCATAGAGTTTAATAAATATTTACATTTAAATGTTCCTATTGCTGGAACGCTCTGGTACGTACAGAGTTAATTTCAGTATCAGGCCTGGGGTACAGGACGCAAATCTAAACTTTACAAGTCGACAAAAGGACAGACAGTAACGCAGGATTTTAATGTCTGAACAGCCGAGCCTGGGATACGAGTTCCAGGTTTGGCAGACGTGAGCTACCAGGACGAACCCTTGAAAACTTAATCCACAGCAATTGCACTGTTTTGTCCCATTGCTGCGTCCAAACGATGACTAACTGGCTCATTATAAAACTCCTGGCACATTCTAAAGCAAACGTATTATAAAACCTCGTGAAGCAGGTTAACCCACTCAGACATCAGGGCCTGGACCGGCAGCCCCATATCAGTACTGCGTGACAGTGAATGGGTTAATGTAAAATATTATTGTGTTTCTTATCATAGAAGGCATTCCTCCCTCTTCTCTTCCTTAACCTAGAAAAGATTCACTCCCTTCTGTTTCTCACAGTGAGAAAAGTCCTCCATTGTGCTTTTTCAGCAGAAGACAAGCCCTTCTAGTTTTTCTTACTGTAGAAAGCAATCCCCACCTTTTATTTCTGAGTGACAGCCATACCCCCTTGTGGGGTTTTTTAGGTAGAAAGCACTCACAGTGAGTTTCTCATAATGTTATTCTTAGAGTGGGGGATATCCCACCCAATTATTATTATTATTATTATGTTATTTATATAGCGCCATCAAATTCCGCAGCGCTTTACAATGGGTGGACGAACAGACATGTAGTTGTAACCAGACAAGTTGGACACACAGGAACAGAGGGGTTGAGGGCTCTGCTCAATGAGCTTACATGCTAGAGGGAGTGGGGTAAAATGACACAAAAAGGTAAGGATAGTATTAGACTAGTGACAGTTGCAGAAGAGGAATCAGTCAGGAGCTATTAACAGTTTAATTGATACGCTTTTATGAAGAAGTGGGTTTTTAACGATTTTTTGAAGGAGTGGAGACTCGGTGAGCATCTAACGGAGGAGGGAAGCGAGTTCCACAGGAACAGTGCAGCCCTCGAGAAATCTTGAAGGCGAGAATCAGAGGTGGGAGTACGGACAGAAGATAGACATTAGTCTTCAGCAGATCGTAAGCGCCTAGATGGGACATACTTGTGTATAAGGGAGGTTAGATAGGTGGGAGCAGCATTATGTATGATTCTTAGAGTGGGTGATATCCCATCAAATGATTCTTAGACTAGGTGGTATCCCCCACAATGATTCTTAGAATGGGCAGTATCCCCCCAATTATTTTTAGAGTGGGGGTTGTCCCACCCAATGATTCTTAGAGTGGGCGGTATCCCCTCAAAGATTCTTAGACTGGGCGGTATCCCCTCAATGATTCTTAGACTGGGTGGTATAAGCCCAAAGATTCTTAGACTGGGCGGTAACCCCCACAATGATTCTCAGACTGGGCGGTATCCCCCCAATGATTCTTAGACTGGGTGGTATCAGCCCAAAGATTCTTAGACTGGGCGGTAACCCCCACAATGATTCTTAGACTGGGCAGTATCCCCCCAATGATTCTTAGAGTGGGGGCTATCCCACCCAATGATTCTTAGAGTGGGCGGTATCACCTCAAAGATTCTTAGACTGGGTGGTATCTCTCCAATGATTCTTAGACTGGGCAGTATCCCCTCAATGATTCTCAGACTGGGCGGTATCCCCCCAATGATTCTTAGACTGGGTGGTATCAGCCCAAAGATTCTTAGACTGGGCGGTAACCCCCACAATGATTCTTAGACTGGGCAGTATCCCCCCAATGATTCTTAGAGTGGGGGCTATCCCACCCAATGATTCTTAGAGTGGGCGGTATCACCTCAAAGATTCTTAGACTGGGTGGTATCTCTCCAATGATTCTTAGACTGGGCAGTATCCCCTCAATGATTCTCAGACTGGGCGGTATCCCCCCAATGATTCTTAGACTGGGTGGTATCAGCCCAAAGATTCTTAGACTGGGCGGTAACCCCCACAATGATTCTTAGACTGGGCAGTATCCCCCCAATGATTCTTAGAGTGGGGGCTATCCCACCCAATGATTCTTAGAGTGGGCGGTATCACCTCAAAGATTCTTAGACTGGGCAATGATTCTTAGAGTGGGGGATATCCCACCCAATGATTCTTAGAGTGCGCGGTATCCCCCGAATGATTCTTAGACTGGGCAGTATCCCCGACAATGATTCTTAGAGTGGGGGATATCCCACCCAATGATTGTTAGAGTGGGCGGTATCACCCCAAAGATTCTTAAACTGGGCGATATCCCCCCAATGATTCTTAGACTGGGTGGTATCCCCACAATTATTCTTGGAGTGGGCAGTATTCTCCCAATGATTTTTAGACTGGGTGGTATCCCCACAATTATTCTTAGAGATACTTTTAATTAGTTTGTATTAAAATTCCACTGTGTGTTTTAAGAGTCTTTGAAACAGTTACTGTATAAATATTACACACAGAATTTTTTATTTTTTATTAAATACATTTTTAAAACGAAGGACAAACAGTACGAGGACACTGAAAATATATAGGTAACATAACAAGACAAGCGATGCAGCAGTCTTGGCATAAACGTTAATCATACAAATCCTTGCTAATTTCGATGTTGCATAAAATGTAAGAAAATAAAAAATGAAAAGATAATGATATGTTCTTAAATAAAGAAAGAAATGAGAACTGTGTAAAAGTCCATTTCCGATAGGTGCTGTCTGTCTTTCACAGTATTTATGTTGCTAAAAAGAAAAAGCTTTTGGCATTGCCAGATATTACAGTTGGGAAAGAGTGAAGCAAACTTTTATTTTTTAATATTCAGCCTCAAGTGGAAGCTCCCTTCTCAAAGTGAGAGAAATGTGCTTACAGCTGCAACTTTGAAAAAGATCTTATTTTAACTTGACAGAGCTTAGCCCCACCCTAGCAGGGCCCCTCCTGAGACATTGCATTCTATATACGGCATGAAAGTGATTCAAAGTATATAAAGTAAATTCATACTATACTACTATAACATACTATAACATTCTACGAGCTTTGAATTTGCCGTTTAGTGAATGAGTGCCCTGGATCTTGTATGTTACATATATTTATATTTATGTATCTATTTATGTATTTTAAAAGATTTTTCATTCATTGAGCCATGGACTGCTGCCGTATGGACAGATTTTCGCTTGGGGGTTTATAGTGGCCTGTCACCAGTTAGAACACATAAAATATTAGTTGGAGTATTTTTACACTATTGTTAAAGAGAAGAAATATGCTAAAATGAAAAAAATGTAAACAGATTTATTTGTACTTTGAACAAACAATGGACAGAATATCACCAGAAAAAGGTACAATCACTCAAACCTGCATCTGAAATTTTAACCTCTTGAAACTCTGGCAAATTCTCTACAGATGAATGATTCTGTTATATTTAAAATTTTCTGTTTACAATACACAGTGAATAGTACAGAATTCCCCAACTAGCCTATGGACACCAAATTATTGTAAACTGAAACCTGAATCACAAAGTTGACAGCTAGTATTTAGCCTAAATTTGGCAATTAGTCATTCTCTTGATTACAAGTCGATGATTAGTGAATAAACCTGTTTGCATGCGCGACATCATTTTTGAGGTCAATTCACTAAATGGGGAATTATGTAAAAATTACTAACGAATTGCACATTGAGGCCAAAATATCCAATTTGATATTTTTTTTTTATTACTTTTTCCCAGACAGTTCACTATCTCACATTTAGTGAATAAATCACACATGTATTTCTATCCACAAAATATCGTAAGAAGGTCCACAGTGGTCACCAAATTGTATTGATGGTCCATATTGCTCCACAAACAGGTAAATCCCAAGGCAATATTGGAGCCACCATTTCTGACACTTCCCGTAGGATTCACTCGCACTTCCAGGATATCTTGTAGCAATCCAGCAAAGAACGGACATTATAGTACGTTACAAAAATGAGGACAGGACTTGGGGCCTGCTTTATTAACGCCCTAATCAGAGGAAAATAGCTACGCCTGCTGGAAAACATCACTTGAGGCATAAAGGAATAATTGTATTGATTGTACAAAAAAGCCAACATATTCTGTAGCGCAGTGCAATAGGTAAGTGGAATATACAAATGATTGCGAAATTACAAGTTTTACCTGCAGGAACAAGAGGTTATGAGAACACAGCTTCATATGGGCTTATAGTCAAGGGGCTTTATTCACTAAATGGCAGTTAAAAGACAAATTGCGAGGAAGATCAAAATTTAGTTCAACCAAACTGAAAAAAACAAACAAACAAAAATAGTCGTATTACAGAATGTTTGCAATGCAGCTATTTTGAATAAAAATGTATAATTCTTTTTTTAATCCTTCACTTAATGATGCCCGCTGACCCCATTTATATTGCAGCAAATCTTTGGATCCACAGAAAGGTAAAGGCGGGATACACATAGCGCACACTCTCTTTGTCCTTTAAATATGTTTAAAGTTCATTCAGTATTTCATTTTGAGGTTAGGAGTGCTGGGATCTCTGTCTAAAATTAGCATTTTTTTCCATTGCAGAAACACTTTTCTCCGACTAACCACACTTTTTGTACTGGACTATAACCGCAAAATGTGCTGTGTGTTATAAGTGTATACGATATGGTGATGTGCGCTCGTTGTATATAGAAGACGAGGCAGTGTGGCACTAACCAGGCCTTGCATGTTGGTATTTGCTGCTCTGGCTGTTTCCAGCTTCCAGCTACAGATCTGCATGGAAAAAAAATCACGTATGAATATTCATGCACTTACTGCACCTTCCCGTGGCTAATATTTAACCTCTGCAGGCTAGAGAATGCTGGCAAGTACATCGGAATGGGAGGGACTCCTAGCTCCATAAAACGGATCCAAGCCTCTTTCAGGGAACAAGGTGGAGGGAAGTGTGCAAACTGGGTACTAGGAAGCGGAGATCTGGAGCACCATAGATAGACTGACACGAAGCCCTCATTGGGCACTAAGCCAGAAAAAAAACTGAATATATCAGAGGATGGGAGTGAAGGAGGCGAAGCTTAAAAAAAAAAAAACAACACTGAGCAGGGCTTGTTCACTAAGCAGCATCTTATATAAACGTTGCCTTAATTTTGCACTTCACTGTTTAGTAAATAGAGCTTAGTATCTAATAGGAAGATAACACACAAGATGCACAGACTGTACCGGCAGGTAATACCCAACTCGGCAATCTAATCTGCCTATTATAAAACCTCAGATTGATTTTACCTACAGATTCTAACTTGTAACCTTACACTATTCAAGTCTTTTATTGTATTAGCCTTTACTGCTTCCACTGGAAGGCTATTCAATGCATCTACTACCCTTTGTATATCATTGTTAGCCTTTAGTGTTTCAACTGGAAAGCGTTTCCAGCAGTAGCGACTCTTGGAACATTACAAAGGAGGGGCACAAAAGATACCACAGTGAAAAGCAGTGAGGCTATAGTGGGTGCAGGGGGTAATCAGGGTTGTAGTGGTTGGAAAGTAATAGGGGCTTTAGCAAGAATGGGGGATAGTGGCTGTGGTGGGGGACAGGAGCAGACATTTGGGGTAGGAGCTGTGATGGGGCAGTAGAGAGGGGATAATTTAATAAATAACTATTAAAAATGTATTTATTTCCAAATTCCGGAGCGTTACCTTTGGCCATGGAGGAGAAAGTATGCCGGCGTGCATGGGGTGGAGACAGAGGCCTGTATCAGACCCGTGGGGAAATGGGGCGGGATTGCCCCCCTGTATCTGCGCTTGTGTTTTCCAGGTACCTACAAACCTTTCTATATTGCTGTTAGTGTTTACTGTTTCCACTGGAAGGCTATTCCAGGTATTTACTTTCGAACACAGAAATATTTCTTGGAAAGAAATTAACCTTTTCCAAGCCAGTTTTGTGAATGGGGAGACACTGATTGGCTGAGAGCATCAGCTGACCACTCTCATGCCATTGTACAGAACACTGGTGAGACCTCACTTGGACCGTATCTCCAGAAGGATATTGATACCTTAGAGAGGGTTCAGAGAAGGGCTACTAAACTGGTTCATGGATTGCGGGATAAAACTTACCAGGAAAGGTTAAAGGAACTTAACATGTATAACTTGGAGGAAAGACGAGACAGGGGGGATATGATAGAAACATTTAAATATATAAAGGGAATCAACACAGTAAAGGAGGAGACTATATTTAAAAGAAGAAAAACTACCACAACAAGAGGACATAGTCTTAAATTAGAGGGGTAAAGGTTTAAAATAATATCAGGAAGTATTACTGTACTGAGAGGGTAGTGTATGCATGGAATAGCCTTCCAGCTGAAGTGGTAGAGGTTAACACAATGAGGGAGTTTAAGCATGCGTGGGATAGGCATAAGGCTATCCTAACTATAAGATAAGGCTAGGGACTAATGAAAGTATTTAGAAAATTGGGCAGACTAGATGGGCCGAATGGTTCTTATCTGCCGTCACCTTCTATGTTTCTAAACTAAAGTTACAAGTTGTAATTTCTATTTTACTTCCAGAACAAATAGAAACAAAGCATGTATATCATTAGTGCAGGGGTAGGCAACCTTCAGCACTCCGGATGTAGTGGACTACATCTCCCATAATGCTCTTACATCCATAATGCTGGCAAAAGCATCATGGGAGATGTAGTCCACAAAGTCTGATGAAGGTTGGCTAGTGGATAATGCGAGGTACCCTTCGTGAACCTCCATTCTCTGCACTTACTCTGCTTTCAACACTCGTGCTGGTTATGTATGGGATCTAGAAGACTACGTCACTCTCAGAGCATAAACTGCGGCCCAGGCCGCAACATTACTTTATCTCCTAACCTCAAAGTTACTATCTGGGCGAAGCACGATGGATACATGTGTGTGTGTATGTGTGTGTGTGTGTGAGTGAGTGTGTGAGTGTGAGAGTCTGTAGGTGTGTGTGTCAGTGTGTGTGTGAGTGTGTGGGTGTGTGTGTGGGGTTGTGGGTGTGTGTGTGTGTGTGTGTGTGTGTGTGAGTGTGTGTGAGTGTGTGTGTCTAACACTTAATAATGACACCAAAATGAAAGCCAGTTCTGTTCAGCAATAGGAAGTATCTGTCTAATATACGCTGTTCATTTACAGGAGGGGAGAGGGGCAAGGGGGGAGGAGGATAAAATTAGTGTTTTTTGTTTTTTTTTATATCATAAGTGCGAAGGCCTGAAAAGAATAAACAAGATGGAGGACGTTAGTGAAAAGAGTCACCAGAAAGTCGTCAAGGAAACAAACGGCTTTCTGTATTTATTTAGTTCCTGCACCGATAAATTGTGTGAAATAGACCTTGCCTGAGAATTGAGAGTGAGGTCTTCTCGTAATGGTCTGTTTCTAAAAGTTCACCAGACATTTTTCTCTGGAGCTGCTTCAAACATTCAATATGCTTATAACCAAAGGGAAAATATTATGGCTAAAAGGGACACTCCAGGCACTACTTCTGCCCATTGGAGTGGTCTGGGTGCCAACTCCCATCACCCTTAACCGTGATAGCCACTGGAGGGACTTCCGTGTTCTTAAAACATGAAAAGAGTTTTAAACTATGCTGGAAATCCTCACGCTATGCATGAGGACATCCAGCGTTGCTAGAATTCCCATAGGAAAGCATTAAATAATGCTTTCCTATGGGGAGGTCTAATGCGCGCGCGGCTCCAAATATCTACTTTATTTCGCTGAGTGCTTTATAAGTGAAGAGTGTGTCCTCTTTTTTCCAAATTTTGTAAAACGTGCAAATTTCAATAGAAACTGTAATTTGTATTAGATATCATAGTTACACCCAGACAACCAAACTTGTTACTGGAGATAAACTCAAAAGGCAGCAATTACCCAGAGCAGCTGTCTTGCAAAGACTTCTCATTGAGCTGCATTGGGAAATCTGTGATTGGACAGACACAGAAAGTCTGGGTGGAGTTAGAAGGGGAGGGTTTGCAAAGGCTGCAGACGAGAAATCTCCAGCTTTTGCAAACATTTTTTAGATGTACCCACAATGAAAAAACACATAATTAAGTGCATGCATGTTTTCTTAGGGGTTATATCTACTAAATAGTGATTTTCTTTTTTCTTTTTTTTATATTATTTGGAAGGTGGTGTGTTTTTTTTTACCAGAGAATTCTGAGAGTCCTTTATTTTCAAGTGAGACAGCAAATTCGATAGGGTTCCAGCTGCACTATCTTTGCTGTCACAGGTTTAAATCCTAAAATGGTCATCTCAGTCGTTCTTAATTTTAAAGTCTACACAATAAGTGACATGATGTTGGGTAACAATAATATCTAGACTCCAGGACACATCTGGAAACTAGCACCAGCTAAATGTCAATGTCTTTCCCAATAAAACTATTTGACATAATTATTAAGTTATTAAAATGGTGATAAACATGCGCACAAGAGGTCGGGGAGTCGATACATAGCATATATAGTGAGTGGCGTAACATCACTGTGTGTTAATAATGCATTACTGTGCTGTAATAACATGAATCACTGAACAACGACTGCATTATTTGAGCTAATAAAGGTTAATAAAGGTTAAATTCATATTACTTTTCAGAATCAAGTCGGAGACCACCCAGAGGAAGTTCTTGCCTTAAATTCTGCAACACCTTATGCGACATTTAGTGATAGTGTCTGGTGGGTCTTTTTCCACACAACACATTCACCTGTTACATCGCAAAGATGAGTATATTACATGACATACCAGAGCGATCTGCGTGAAACCCACCAGAGTAACAGAGGTAATAAAACATAGATCCAAATGTGGTACAATTGCATCGAATTACACAAACGTCTTGATGGCCAAGATCAGTCCTCCCAAGCAAAATATTCATAAACGGTTACCTTTAAATAATCACACAAAAATAGAAAATAAAAAAAAAGAGAGAAAACGGCAACTTTCCATATTTTCATTGTGGAGCATGTAAAATGCCGTGTATTACAAGCGGAATAATAAACTTAACTTAGACACAAGTCTGCTCAAGGAACTCTTTCTGGAATTTCCTGTAGAACAGAGACAAACATTTCTGTATATCGGCAGCAGGATTGCCACCAGTGCCTTTTCGTCTGTACCGGTCACGTATTTACCAACAAATCATTGGCACCTTTTAGTACATTGTGTGAATGTCTTTACAACCACCTTGGCTGAGCATAAAAGGAGTAGCTGTTCGCAGTATCTCTCTGGCCAAGTACCCAAGCAGTTTAACGTATGGCAGTCAGACTGTCCATGTGACATATTGACACCTGAAATCTCTGTGTAATCCAGAATGTACATATCCGTAAATTATGGTCGCAGGGAAGGAGATGGATTGTCAGAGATCACTAAGATGCATATTGACACCATAAGTCTCTGTATATCACGTGATACACCCCACTAGTGTGCCCGCATGGAAGCAGCTGGGCCGTCAGAAGTCCCTGAGATGTACTGATATCTACCGCCCACATGTCTCACATGACATGCACAGCCATTACTGTACTCATCAAGCTTGCAAGCAGATGGATGTTTGACAAGGTGCCCTTTCTAACAGACAGCACAATATACTGTGTGTTCCATGGCGAAGTATTATAAAAGAAAATCGAACCACACTTTTATTTCTTTTAATTTAAAACCTCTTTCTTGCCAGTCTCCTTCTTTTAACTTCCATCTACTGTCTGCCATTATGCTTTCATACCCACCATACCAACTTATGACTACTCTTTGACATTTCCTCCAACTTTCCACGTCTCCTTGCTATTGTCTCTTTTTTTCAACTTCCATCTATTTTCTGCAATTCTGTTACTTTTAATGTCCACCTTCTCCTACCAGGTTCTTCGCTTTCTCTGCTCCAACCTTTACTTCTATCCATCCTGCCATCTTTTTATCAGTACCACTTTCTCACCCTACTGTATCATTCTTTAGTACATTACTCATCCAATCCTATGTTACCCATTCTTTCCTACATTACTCACTACGTCCTGGTACCCATTCTAATTTGACCCATTCTATCCTATGTTACTAATTCTATCCTACATTACTAATTCTATCCTACGTTACCAATTCTATCCTACGTTACCAATTCTATCCAACGTTACCCATTCTATCCTACATTACCCATTCTATCCTATGTTACCCATTCTATCCTATGTTACCCATTCTATCCTACATTACCCATTCTATCCTATATTACCCATTCTATCCTACATTACCCATTCTATCCTACATTACCCATTCTATCCTATATTACCCATTCTATCCTACATTACCCATTCTATCCTACATTACCCATTCTATCCTATATTACCCATTCTATCCTACATTACCCATTCTATCCTATATTACCCATTCTATCCTACATTACCCATTCTATCCTATATTACCCATTCTATCCTATATTACCAACTCTATCCAACGTTACCCATTCTATCCTACGAGGGCAAAATAGAGAGGAAGGGTTATCCTGACCAAAACTGTTTTTTTAAACACTTTTTTTTGGTTGGAGTAACTCTTTAAAAATATTCCATCTATGTTAAAATGTTGTTATTTTGCCCAAATTTAAAGAACATCATGACTTGAGCTAACCATATTTAAACTTATTTTTAAGAAAGAACATAACTACAGCAAATAAACAATAAGAAAAGCTATTGATTGACATATATGTAATAAATTCAGGCTTAAGATCAGAAACTGCTCAGTATAGAAGCACGCCAGCAAACACTACATCTCACGCACTAATTACAAAAGAAAACAAAATATTAGGACTGTTATATGCATTTATTTTTTTTCAATGGCGGATATATTAGTCCTCTGAGGCATTTTTCAGCCATAAGAGGATAACGTCATACTAAGTGACTTTGAACAGTATCGTAAAACTAAATTGTGTGAAATAGACCTTGCCTGAGAATTGAGAGTGAGGTCTTCTCGTAATGGTCTGTTTCTAAAAGTTCACCAGACATTTTTCTCTGGAGCTGCTTCAAACATTCAATATGCCCAGACAACGTTATGCCGTGAAGGTTCTAAGGCGTTCCGGTCGGTGCTATTGGCTCACATCACAGGCACGTGGAGGTAACCTGAATATTTTGCTTCTGTAACTGTGTCGAATATATCTTCTCATATATTTAAAAACGTAACTGCACAGCGATTGTATCAGTAACTAAATAAACAAAAACATGTAAATATGCCTCACCCCTCCCCCCAAAAATACCTTCTGATGCTGTAAAATGTCACTTTGGTAATATTATTGCAAGTCAGTGATAAAAAAGACTTTTAATGATGAGCACACCTTACTTCTCATGCATCTAGCTGTACAACAGATCTCCTCCCCTCCATGACCCTATAACTAGCTCAGTCTTCTTTCTTCAATGCTAAATCCTCACTGCTATGAACAATAATATCAATAGTGCCACCTTAAACTGTCAGTTCTCTCAGGAATTCAAGATTGGTGTACAATAAATATGATTCCATCCATAAACTCCGTTTTTTCTTACTACTTCTTACTCCCCTGTTTTATTCTGTCCTGCCTATCTGAGGCTCACAGAGTCTTCCTGTGTTAAGCTTACTATGTCTGCTTTTACTCTTCCCTCTAACATTTTACAAAAATCAAACGTCCTTCAAGAAAAATGTAACGTTTCCTGAGAATTTAGCTGCATTTCATCTTCTATTTCTGCTTTCTGACATCCTTTGAATATATCTGTTAAGGAAATTAATAGAATCCTTGACTCCAAACCTGTATTTCTAACGTTCTATTTCAGCCTCTCCCAATATATTAAATCTTCCAAAAACACAAATGGAAATTTCTTTAAACCAGGTTTTTTCCATTCCTGTTTTATGACAAACTATTCAGATTTCCCCTCTACTCCATCTCACTATCACTTATTTTCTTCCCACCATCCCACAGCAAGCGTTGCTTAATACTCCTAACATACCATGCCCCTTGACAAAAAATCTTGCTGGCTATTGTCGGAACATGCTAGGAACCAAATCACACTGACCCAAAACACAACAAAGATCGGCGAGACTAGTTGCTGGTCCTGAGAGTGGCCGGGTTAATGGTGGACAGAGTCAGAGCAATAGACAATGTCAAGGATAAGAGAAAATAGATAAAACTGTTAAATAAGCCAAGGTCTAAGGAGTACAAAATTCAGGAGCAATGATAAGCAAGTCAAGCGTCGGACACCAGAGAAACAATGAGTGGAACAGGTGAGTATAAACAGGAAGGGCTTATGTCTTATTCATCCTAGAGTTCCAGATGACTCATGGCCCGCACAAAACTGTATAAGGCTGATCCTTGAGGTCAATGGACCAGGCTGGATTTTGTCTGGGGAATGCGTAATTCGGACCCGAAATCAGACGCATATAAAAGGATGCGTTGAGAGAGCAGGCAGCGCCCAGAGAACACCAGTGGAGCCAGGTAAGATGCCATCAATCACAAACACGATCCACTGCAGTGGTTATGATAGCTGTGTGTGATTTATGATAGCTGTGTGTGATGTATATATTTTGACTGTGTATGAGGTGGCTGTATGTATTATGTATGTGGCAATCCGTGTATGATGTGGATATCTGTGAGTGATTTGTAGGGCAGTGCATGATGTGTGGAGTAAATGATATGGGTAGCTTTAAATGGTATGTGCGGCTAGCTGTGATTGATGTCTACCAAGCCAGTGTCATCTACTGAACCAGCATCATCTACTGGGCCAGCCTCATCTTTCCAGCAAATGTCATCTATCAAGAGGACATTATCCACCAAACCAACATAATCTACCAAGACAAAATAATCTATCGGGCCAGCATCATCTAATGAGTAAGCATCTTCTACCAAACCAATGTAATGTACCAAGAGAGCATCATCTACAGAGCCAGCATCATCTACCAAACCAATGTAATGTACCAAGAGAGCATCATCTACGGAGCCAGCCTCATCTTCCGCCAATATCGTCTACCAAGAGGATATCATCCACCAAACCAACCTTATCTACCAAGCCAGAATCATCTTTTGGGTCAGCGTTATCTACTGAGCAAGTATCATCTACCAAACCAATGTAATGTACCAAGAGAGCATCATCTGCCAAACCAATGTAATGTACCAAGAGAGCATCATCTACTGAGCCAGAATCATCTACCAAACAAATGTAATGTACCAAGAGAGCATCATGCACTGAGCCAGGATCATCTACCAAACCAATGTAATGTACCAAGAGAGCATCATCTGCCAAACCAATGTAATGTACCAAGACAGCATTATCTACTGAGCCATCATCATCTACCAAACCAATGTAATGTATGAAAAGAGCATCATCTACGGAGCCAGCATCATCTATCAAACCAATGTAATGTACCAAGAGAGCATCATCTACTGAGCCAACATCATCCACCAAACCAACCTTATCTACCAAGCCAGAATCATCTTTTGGGTCAGCGTTATCTACTGAGCAAGTATCATCTACCAAACCAATGTAATGTACCAAGAGAGCATCATCTGCCAAACCAATGTAATGTACCAAGAGAGCATCATCTACTGAACCAGAATCATCTACCAAACCAATGTAATGTACCAAGAGAGCATCATGCACCGAGCCAGCATCATCTACCAAACCAATGTAATGTACCAAGAGAGCATCATCTGCCAAACCAATGTAATGTACCAAGACAGCATTATCTACCAAACCAATGTAATGTATGAAAAGAGCATCATCTACGGAGCCAGCATCATCTACCAAACCAATGTAATGTACCAAGAGAGCATCATCTACTGAGCCAACATCATCTACCAAGAGAGCATCATCTACTGAGCCAACATCATCTACCAAACCAATGTAATGTACCAAGAGAGCATCATCTGCCAAACCAATGTAATGTACCAAGACAGCATTATCTACCAAACCAATGTAATGTACCAAGAGAGCATCATCTACTGAGCCAGCATCATCTACCAAACCAATGTAATGTACCAAGAGAGCATCATCTACTGAGGCAACATCATCTACCAAGAGAGCATCATCTACTGAGCCAACATCATCTACCAAACCAATGTAATGTACCAAGAGAGCATCATCTGCCAAACCAATGTAATGTACCAAGAGAGCATTATCTACTGAACCATCATCATCTACCAAACCAATGTAATGTACAAAGAGAGCATCATCTACGGAGCCAGCATCATCCACCAAACCAATGTAATGTACCAAGAGAGCATCATCTACCAAACCAATGTAATGTACCAAACCAATGTAATGCACCAAGAGAGCATCATCTACCAAACCAATGTAATGTACCAAGAGAGCATGATCTACTGAGCCAGTATCATCTACCAAACCAATGTAATGTACCAAGAGAGCATCATCCAAGGAGCCAGCATCTTCTACCAAACTAATGTAATGTACCAAGAGAGCATTATCCATTGAGCCAGAATCCTCTACCAAACCAATGTAATGTACGAAGAGAGCATCATCTACTGAACCATCATCATCTACGAAACCAATGTAATGTACCAAGAGAGCATCATCTATTGAGCCAGCATCATCTACCAAACCAATGTAATGCACCAAGAGAGCATCATCCAAGGAGCCAGCATCTTCTACCAAACCAATGTAATGTACCAAGAGAGCATCATCTGCCAAACCAATGTAATATACCAAGAGAGCATTATCGACTAAGCCATCATCATCTACGAAACCAATGTAATGTATGAAGAGAGCATCATCTATGGAGCCAGCATCATCTACCAAACCAATGTAATGTACCAAGAGAGCATCATCTACCAAACCAATGTAGTGTACCAAGAGAGCATCATCTACCAAACCAATGTAATGTACCAAGAGAGCATTATCTACTGAGCCAGCATCATCTACCAACCCAATGTAATGTACCAAGAGAGCATCATCCAGGGAGCCAGCATCTTCTACAAAACAAATGTAATGTACCAAGAGAGCATTATCTACTGAGCCAGAATCCTCTACCAAACCAATGTAATGTACGAAGAGAGCATCATCTACTGAGCCAGCACCATCTATCAAACCAATGTAATGTACCAATAGAGCATCATCTACCAAACCAATGTAATGTAGCAAGAGAACATTATCTACTGAGCCAGCATCATCTACCAAACCAATGTAATGTACGAAAAGAGCATCATCTACGGAGCCAGCATCATCTAACAAACCAATGTAATGTACCAAGAGAACATTATCTACTGAGCCAGCATCATCTACCAAACCAATGTAATGTACGAAGAGAGCATCATCTACTGAGCCAGCATCATCTACCAAACTAGCATCATCTATCAAGTGACCATTAACAATTAGGGTAATGTTATATCTCAATACAGCTCCACCTCCCTCCACTTTCAAACATGAGCTCAAATCGTAATTAATGAGAGAGACTTATAAATCAGTCCACTTACTTAACGTGGCTCTGTCACTGTATGGGGTCTTTGCATAATTTGTCCTGAAGGTGACATTGCCAGTGGGGGTTCGCCATCTTATTGCACAAGATTACAGACTGACAAGACTGAGGGATCCTCTATAGAAAGAGCTAATTTCCCTACAGTCATCACTGGTGAAGGCTTAGGGAAATTACAAACTTAACAAAAGGTAGCTCCTCTTTTTGTCAAACGTGTCCTGTGGAAAGTACAAAGTCTCTTGTAGATGATAGGGATCCAGGGCGGACTGACCACTCAGGCACATCGGTCATGGACCGAGGGCCCGAGATAGCCAGAGGCCAAGCAGCACAGCCATGCTCCAGCTGGAGAGCTCAGATCAGAGAGCACTCCAACTGGAAAGGCAAATGTTTAAAACAAATCTCTTAAATTGATAGGTTGTGGGGCCTCTAAGGACGCTCAGGGCCCCAGCAACCTACCACACTGCACATCACCGCTCCCCCCACACTCAAATGAGACCTGGCAGCTTCACCTGCTCTCTCACTCTCTGCCAGGTCTGCTTCTTCCTGTCCCACGCGGCGCTCTGTGTGATGGGTGAGGAGGGGATAGGAAGTGACATCACTTCCTGTACTCTCCTCTCACACAGAGCCCTCTCACAGCCAGCGACGGGAAGGATCATCAGCCTGCTACAGGGAGCAGAGAGAGGCAGGAAGTATAAAGAGCAGAGAGAGGTAGTAAATAAAAAGGGGAAGATGGAGAGAGACCACAGGGAGCAGAGAGAGGTAGGAAATAAAAAGGGGAATACTGAGAGAGACCACGGAGAGCAGAGAGAGGTAGGAAGCATAAAGGGGAAGATGAGGAGAGACCACAGGAAGCAGAGAGAGGTAGGAAATAAAAAGGGGAAGATGGGGAGAGACCACAGGGAGCAAAGAAAGGTAGGAAATAAAAAGAGGGAATACTGAGAGAGACCACAGGGAGCAGAGAGAGGTAGGAAGCATAAACGGGAAGATGAGGAGAGACCACAGGAAGCAGAGAGAGGTAGGAAATAAAAAGGGGAAGATGGGGAGATACCACAGGGAGCAGAGAAAGGTAGGAAATAAAAAGAGGGAATACTGGGAGAGACCACAGGGAGCAGAGAGAGGTAGGAAATAAAAAGGGGAAGATGGGGAGAGACCACAGGAAGCAGATAGAGGTAGGAAATAAAAAGGGGAATACTGGGAGAGACCACAGGGAGCAGAGAGAGGTAGGTAATAAAAAGGGGAATACTGGGAGAGACCACAGGGAGCAGAGAGAGGTATGCAATAAAAAGGGGAAGATGGGGAGAGACCACAGGGAGCAGAGAGAGGTAGGTAATAAAAAGGGGAAGATGGGGAGAGACCACAAGCAGCAGAGAGAGGTAGGAAATAAAAAGGGGAATACTGGGAGAGACCACAGGGAGCAGAGAGAGGTAGGTAATAAAAAGGGGAATACTGGGAGAGACCACAGGGAGCAGAGAGAGGTGGGAAATAAAAACGGGAAGATGGGGAGAGACCACAGGGAGCAGAGAGAGGTAGGAAATAAAAAGGGGAAGATGAGGAGGGACCACAGGGAGCAGAGAGAGGTAGGAAATAAAAAGGGGAAGATGGGGAGAGACCACAGGGAGCAGAGAGAGGTAGGAAATAAAAAGGGGAAGATGGGGAGAGACCACAGGGAGCAGAGAGAGGTAGGAAATAAAAAGGGGAAGATGGGGAGGGACCATAGGGAGCAGAGAGAGGTAGGAAATAAAAAGGGGAAGATGGGAGAGACCACAGGGAGCAGAGAGAGGTAGGAAGAAAAAGGGGAATATGAGGAGAGACCACAGGAAGCAGAGAGAGGTGGGAAATAAAAAGGGGAAAATGGGGAGAGACCACAAGAAGCAGAGAGAAGTAGGAAATAAAAAGGGGAAGATGGGGAGAGACCACAGGAAGCAGAGAGAGGTGGGAAATAAAAAGGGGAAGATGGGGAGAGAGCACAGGGAGCAGAGAGAGGTAGGAAATAAAAAGGGGAAAACTGGGAGAGACCACAGGAAGCAGAAAGAGGTAGGAAATTAAAACGGTAAGATGGGGAGAGAAAAGTTAATGAAAGTAATACAAAAATAGAAGAGAGAAAGAGAGAGGTGTTATGGAAAGAGAACAATGTAATAAACAGATAGTGGAAGAGATGTAGGGGAGCAACCACAGGGAGAAAATCATGGTAACAGGATTATATGGGGACTGCAATGGGAAAACAAAATTAAGATTATTAAAAAGTATGGAGAAATAGGGTCTGCTGGAAAGACAGGGGTTAAAGATTGCAGTATTTAGGCTACTGATGTGAAAATGTAATGATGGGCATGTACATAACATGTTAGATTGTGTGTGAGTATGGAGTGTGCGTTTGGGTCAGAGTTTGTGGATATGTGTACTAGTGATTGTGTCAGAATAACAGTGTGTGGGTCAGTGATTGTGTGCTGCAGTGTGGGTCAGCGATTGTGTCAAAATAGCAGTGTGTGGGTCAGTGATTGTGTGAGAATAACAGTGTGTGGGTCAATGATTGTGTCAGAATAACAGTGTGTGGGTCAGTGATTGTGTGTTGCAGTATGTGGATCAGTGATTGTGTGTTGCTGTGTGTATGCCAAAGAAAGTATATGTGTAGGTGAATAGGTACAATGTTTGATTAAATTAAACAATTTACACTTAATTTTTTGAGAGTATTATGCATATATATGTAAACATATGTATATTAACACATGTATATAATTATATTAATATTTACATGTGCATTTATTACAAGTATTGTTTATATTTGCATAAAACACTCACATTGTAGAGAATAAAAGTCTGAATCAAATTACTCTAAAAATCCAGCCACCCCTCCAGTCCATACAGGCAGCACACACACATTACATACATTACATACATACAGGCAGCACACAACATATGCAGCCAGCACACGCTATGACAAGGGGAGAGACAATATTTAGAGTAATTTACTAAATAAATCCAAATTCTAAAATTAAAATGTTAGATGCATTCACACTGACACTATATACAAAAAAGCACATGTATCATGCAGACATGCACAAGTGCATTCACACAGACTCAAATACAAACATGCATTGTTCACACTGTACATATCCAAAGGAATGCCATATTATATGAGAGTTATATTTAACATTTACCCTCCACCTCTCTGTTCCTGTACGTCCAGTTGTCTGGTCACAATTACATGTCTGTTATTCCACCCATTGTACAGCGCTATGGAATCTGATGGCGCTATATAAATAAAATAATAATCTAATGAAATTACATTTTGCCCGGGGGCCCCAAAGGCTCTGACAGGGAAGCTGTTGGTGTCCAGATCGAGAAATGTGAACAAAGCAATAGTTTGGCAGCAAAGTGAACAAAAAAAAACTAAAGTCACCTGAACAACTTTAGCTTAATGAAGCAGTTTTGGTGTATATAACATGCCCCTGCAGTCTCACTGCTCAATCCTCTGCCATTTAGGAGTTAAATCCCTTTGTTTATGAACCCTAGTCACACCTCCCTGCATGTGACTTGCACAGCCTTCCATAAACACTTCCTGTAAAGAGAGCCCTATTTAGGCTTTCTTTATTGCAAGTTCTGTTTAATTAAGATTTTCTTATCCCCTGCTATGTTAATAGCTTGCTAGACCCTGCAAGAGCCTCCTGTATGTGATTAAAGTTCAATTTAGAGATTGAGATACAATTATTTAAGGTAAATTACATCTGTTTTTTTTCATGCAGGCTCTGTCAATCATAGCCAGGGGAGGTGTGGCTAGGGCTGCATACACAGAAACAAAGTGATTTAACTCCTAAATGACAGTGAATTGAGCTATACACTAAAACTCCTTTACTTAGCTAAAGTAATTTAGGTGACTACAGTGTTCCTTTAAGGCTGAGTTGTCTGTAAAGAACTAGGTAAATACTTAGGTCACACGTAGCAGGTAAGTGTGAGGATAGGGGCTGATGGTGTCTCTAGACATTTTCAGTAGCAGAAGCTGGCTACAAATGGGGAAGACTAAAATTAATTAAAACTGATTTAATCCATTGGTTTCACATTTCCAGGAGCAGAAACCATTAAAGAACACTTGCAATTTGACGTTAGGATTTTGAAAAGAATTATGTCACGAAAAAATGTGGGCCTATCGCGTTACACTGAAACTGTCGACTGAAATGCAACATTCCTTAAACCATTTACAAGTCCGAAAATAACCCCTTTCTAACATACACTGAATGGATATTCTCAGTTATTAAACACTCACTAAATTGTGTTCTTTGAAACATATTATTTAAAGTTAACCACTGAAATGAGAATTGTCTGGAATTCAATATGATGTTAAACTGAAAGTTTTTAAGCCAGAAATTCTCTAAATTGAGGAATTATGGCCTGAAATCTGAATTGTACTTTGAAGTCCAGACAATTTTGTGATTAACCCTGTATAATATACAAAGACGGGCACTTTCAATTTAGGGGTGTGAGTGGGTGTGTGGCCAGGTGCGGGGCTTCTCTGAGAAATTCTAGGTGACTTACTAATAACAATTTATACAACTAAAATATAGTTTAGAACAGGGGTCAGCAACCTATGGCACTCAAGGCTGCAAGTGACAAACAGGCTCTGGCCCAACGGTTCCCAAAATAGGATGCAGCGACGGGCACAAAATATAAAAGATATGTTCCTGGTGCTATGATTATAGCACCTGGAACCGTGCCTCCCTCTCCCCTGCCGGCTCTGCTGGACCAGAGGGGAGATCAGTGATCACCTTCACCGGCCTGCTGGCACTGTACAGCTGGCAGCCGGCAGGGGAGCTGCAGCTGTAACCTGCAGCTCCGCCGGGTTCTCCTCTCCCGAGCTTGGAGCATTGCCCTGGTTACCATGGCAACGCTCCAAACCTCGCAACAGTGAACTCTAGCCTGAGCTGCAGGATAGAGTTCACTCTCACCACTAGGACTGCCAGAGCTTCTCCACCGGACCACCAGGGATTAGTGCTGTCCCCCCTCCCACACTGTGCCCCTACACACACATTGTATCCCTTACTCACAAACTGCCCCACATACACACACACTAACCCTCACACAACCTGACCCCCCACACACTGTACCCCTCGTGCACAGACTGTACCCTTCGCGCATACACTGTACCCCTACACACACACTACATCCTTCACACACAATACATCCTTCACACACACACAATACATCCTTCATAAACACAATGTATCCCAGCATATCCAAGATGTGACCTGTTGCAGATTACGTCGGTCAGACAAGGTTATCTCAACAACTACCAAATCGGTTGTTCTCTGAAAGGTAATGTGTACCCAGAGCAAGTCATGCAATGCCTCGGAGCCTTACAGAGGACCTGACACGCATTGCAATATCTTCCTGTCTCTCCAGCACTATTCTGCTTCCTGCATTGATTACACTTAGACATGTATCATGTCCTCGTCCTGCCCAGAAATACAGGATTAGGGAGACAAGATGGCGGCTGGTGGTGTACTGGTAATAATACTGGGAGAATTTACACATGGTATTGAAATAACGTTTACATTGTCACATACTCAAATATGTAATTCATAGGAATAACTATACAGAACATTAAAATAAGACAGACATAACAGTTTCTCTCTAAATATCTTGTGGATTTGTTATGAACAAAACTTACAACTAGAGTACATTGCTTAAAGGGACATGGTAAGTACCATCAAACCACAGCTTATTGTATCATTACAGCTCACTGTATTATTACACCATATTCTATCATTACAGCTTATTGTATCATTACAGCTCATTGCATTATTACTGCTCATTGCATTATTACAGCTCATTGTATTATTACACCATATTGTATTATTACAGCTTATTGTATTGTTACAGCTTATTGTATCATTACAGCTCATTGTATTATTACACCATATTGTATCATTACAGCTTATTGTATCATTACAGCTCATTGTATTATTACAGATTATTGTATCAATACAGCTCATTGTATTATTACGGCTCATTGCATTATTACAGCTCATTGTATTATTACAGCTCAGTGTATTATTACAGCTCATTTTATTATTATAGCTCATTGCATTATTACAGCTCATTGTATTATTACAGCTTATTGTATTATTAGAGCTCATTGTATTATTACAGCTTATTATTTTACCACAGTTTATAGTGGGGTGGATCCATGCAGAGAGTGTGGCTTCAGTGCTCCCTGCAGGTTCGCAGTGCCCTAAGTGCAGGGCGTCTAATGATGCACTTGAGCTACGATTTTTGAGGACAGGTTCCTTGTTTCCCTAAAAGTGGGACACCATGGAAGAAAGTCAGGATAGGGCCCTAAAACAGGAACTGTCTCATCAAAATTAAAACTATTTGGAGGGTTAGGGCTGCCTCCCCACCTAAATGGACACACTCACTGCATTGTTACACCATACTTCTTCTGCAGGCCCAGTGGGCAGCGATGGCCATGGTTTGATGTTGGCCAAGGGCTGCGATTTCCGTGGTTTGCAGTTAAGGTAATCCAGAAATTTTACCTTGGACACAATGAAAGTCCGGTCCAGATTTTAACTGCTTTGGACAGGTGATAACAAAATAACGGGATGGGTTAGGATAGCAAAGAATTTACTGAAAGATTATTTAACTTTTTTAATAAAGTCCATTGGGCAATTATAAAAAAAAAAATTGTGATTCAATGTGCTTTATGCACTACACGGTGAACTGTATTGATTAAACTTTTTGGCGCTGATGGACAAGTAATAACGACATCATTGTTATAGTAGATAATATTAATAGAAAACAGACTGCATAAAACAAAGAAAATAAAAATGATACTAAGAATACCAGCAGGTAAATCTGTAAGGAAATAAACAGGTTATAACCCAGACAGTAGCCAGATGGAAGCCCAAAACAAAAGCTGGGGTATACACAGTAAGAAATAAAATACTTAGCTCCGAAAACCCAATCATTATTCAGAGCACATTGTTACTGCACAAAGCATTCACCACAACATTCCAAATGACCATGCTGGACACAACACAACTGGATGGCAGCCATTTCCCCCTATTCTAAATGGTGTTAAGCTCCCTGCTCCCATCTGAGCACCACAGAGATAGCATTCAGACTGAAAAATTGAGTTTTAATGCAGTTTGCGTCTGTGTTCTGAAAGCAGCAAGTTATAATTCAGCAGATGTACAGCTCAACCATCCATTTCCAAAGATTTTCGCTTAAAGGCTGGCTAAGCATCGTGGGTAATGCAGATGACAAACCTCTTCAGCGCCAACTTTCCGCCATCGCGAAAGCATAAGTAAAACATTACATGTCTTGCAGTGACTGCCAAGCCTTATTGGCACGATGTGTTAATTCTGTAAAAACTGGGACAAAGAAACCGTCGAACTACTGAATTGTACATTTATGTTTTAATTATTTGACAGGTATTTCTAAGGATATTTGGAGATGAACACAAATTTAAGCTTAATGTTTTTGCTAATTTCTGCATGGGACTACATAGTGTGCATAACTACATAGCGTGGTATTTAACGGAGTCACAAGTTCTCTGCAAATCAGCGCTTTTAGCATTTTTGGGCTGTAGGACAATATGCTAACTAACGTCACCGGTCTTGTTAAATACATCGTCTAAAAAATACTACTAATAAAATCTAAGAAAAAATATATTCTTAGTGCTAAAACGTATTTGCCTTCACAGCAGTCCCATCCTTTATTCTTTGTGATTAACATTTGAATTTTAATTAGGATGACTGATTGCAAATATTGATTAACTAGCACCTAGCAGGTTTGCAAACATGGGGAGGAATCATCACAACACAAAAAAAGAGCCAGATATGTTCCCACGTGCTATAAAAACCTCAATAAGTATGGTTATTAAGTGAGCGGGGGGGAGGTTGGGGGGGGGAGGGAAGAATAGGGGTGGGAAGTATTCAGAACTAAAAAGGTAAATGCGCAGTGTATATACATAACTGGTGCCAAAGGGACTCTTCGAGTCTGTGCAGGGTTGCCATGGCAACACTAATAACGTTGGTTCTGTGAAAGATAATGACGCTGTTTGTGTGCCAAGGGATTATAGCCACTAAATAGTGAACTGGGGGTGTTGACAATTGTGAAATTAAAGCCAAATGAGCAAAGCTTACAAACAAAATAATAGAAAAAAAAAGACTACAATCAGTTACTTTTGCCAAGATGTTGCAAATTAGGTATATCATCTCAACGCAAACCGCTGTTTAGAAAATACACCCCCAGGAGACAGCTAGGAGTAATGGCAGGACCCAGGAGGTGCAGACACTGCGTTATCAGCGGGTTTGCAGGTGTGTGGCGATGATGGGGACGTGTTGTAACATTAAAGGGAGCCGGAGGGAGGGCACCCTGTGATGCCAGCAGGAAGGGGTTAAAATGGCTACCGTTTCTCTGCTCTCGAAGCTGCTGCTTCAGTGGGGGATTCTGCTGTTCATCAGCCAGTCAGACTTTGACTACATTCGTATTGATGCCTCCATCTGAAGCCTCCCGGGAGGTTCATGTTTACCCTTGAATATGTGGATTGGTGCCAGCTTGGCACTGCTCTCCGTGTTCGTACATTGAAATTCAGGGCATGCCTCTGACTTCCAAATGATCCTCTCAAATTAGTGCTCATTTCGCAGAACGCACCGGCCGCATGTGACAACAGCGTGAAAGGCCTGAGAAAAATAGCACAGGCCCCAACTTTAACCCCCTAACAGCTGGAAGCGCAAAGTGTGCACAAAGTAAAGACACACAGCCTGCCCTGGTGTGTACTGAGCATTTCTTTCAATGTATTTACCTATAACTCTCTGTGAATAAACAACTGCAACTCCCATCATTCTCAGTGGCTGGCTGAGAGAGTCACAAGCATTTTTTCCCTGACTCCTACTACGATTTTGCTGGCTGAGTGTCATGGGAAAAGTAGTTTACAGACATCTGCAGTGCCAAGGTTAACCTTATTGAGACATATGGCAAGTATAGACAGAGAGACAAGACGTACAGTGGAATGATATCGAGACCTAATTGCGGATTGGACAGAACTCTATTCATATTAAACATAATGGTTTGCCTTTCCAAAAATGAAATCTTTTTTTCCTTGAAGTTCTGTATTTGTGTTACATTTGATGCTGTGTTGAGACAGCACCGGAGACAAAAATCTGGTCGAATGCCTTCTCAGACATCACAAGAGCCATCTCAAATATTTTATTAAAAGCCAGACTGAAAAAAATATCAATTATTCATTCAGAATTAATATGGAAGGAGATAGACTGCACCTACATGTACACCTGTATGCCGCCAGACGCCGTGATGAAATCTGCTGCCAGGATCCACAAACCAATCAAATCAAAGCGTGCAGTACTCCTGACAGCTAACGACTCCTATCATTCTTTATTTATAGAATATTATTCAGTACCAGATAGGAACACTGAACTGCATATTCAATGGAACTCACAGAAAAGTGCGAACTGTCAAAAAATCTAGTATTTGGGTCAATCACAACTCGTAATATTAATGTTGAAATCAGCTAGCAGTCTAACTGTCCACACTGAACCATTAAGTATACATGAAGCATGCGCGTGCTTTTCTGATAAGTCTCCTTCACCTGTATGAGCTGTACCCTGTCGGTGCACACACATAACAAAGACTAGTTTGAGCAACGAGTCGGTTAGTTATATGCATGCGCGCTCTCAACACAAGTGAAAGAGACGGGTTGGAAACGTACACTCATCCCTTCCATGGAGCAGACCTCTCAACAGTCCCCATTTCAGTGGGGCAACCTTGATACCAAGATTCTGTCCTGCCATTCTAACTTCGTTCCCTATTCTCCCACTTTTTGAACTGTCCTTAGAAATTGTAGCATGAGAACATTGTTACACATGCCTGCCCTACACTCAGGGCACGACCATGCAAAGGGGCGTGAAACAGCCTGGCTGGCCTGCTTAATTGGCATACCAATTGACTTGCTAATTTTTAGGTGGGCACACCCCTGTCCAGGTGTCCTTGGGTGGTTTGCTTCACTGGCTCCTGGCTTAGCCTGTCAGCTGGTAAAACATCCCGTAAAGCGGTGAGTATGAATGAGCATGCACGGCATTCCTAAACAAGGTAAATTGTAAGGGGTGGATGGAGTCCTTGCACTCCTTGTAAAGGTATACAATTATTGCAATAAGAAGAATTTAAAAGACTTTCCACACACTATGACCATTACAATGAGCTGTGATGGTTAATGCATTGAGAGTCTCTACTTAGGGTTCTCTGTACAAATAATCACTCATGGTGCTATTTATGATCAATGAAAATGAGTCCTATACAACGCATTTTGCAAACAAGGAGCCTGCTGTGCCTTGTAACTTGGTGCTTGCAGAATTCAGCTTTGATTAGTACATGTTTATCTGTTTTTCTACTTTTTATCTGGAGGAACACAGAAAACCTTAACTGCTAATTCTACCCAAAACACTTTGATCCCATCACTAAGTAAAACAGGCAAATACACCCTGAAACAGTTTGAGTGTGCCTCAAAGTCTCCAGCTAGCTTAGCTTTTCTCAGATCTAAGTGGACCTCGGGAGAGACAGATCTTCAAAGCTGAATTTGCGGGACTCAATTTGGCAACAAGTTACTAAGGCGTTTCTGAATTTGTGAGAGTTCTGTATGTACTTGATGTCACAAGAGGGAACAGGTTGGTTTGTACATCAGAACACTTTAGGGGTGCACTAGGGACCACTGGTCAGTTAGCAAATCTCTATTTGAGAAGCCTTGGCAAAGAAAACCTGCGACAATGACCATGGTCGTATGAAGTCAATTAAAACTGTGAAATTATAACCAGGAAGGAAGACCATAGCTTTCATGGCAATAACTTAAGGTTCATACAATTCTGAAAAACCCCTAATAAAATATTTAGTTAGATTCTGATAAAGAATTGTATATTGATAACAAGTGAAAACATAAACTATCAGCATTGACACAAGTTGTTGCATAATAACTAGGTCTTCATAATCTCTTCTAATTTGAGTCTAGTGTAATACTTCACACCTGGTGGCTTATTCACTAAATGAAGGGCTGTCTAAAGTGGATTCAAGGTATAAGTAAA